TAAAATAAGTCCTATTCAATTACACTCGGACACGCGCAGTGTTTACAAGATAAATAATTGAATAGACATACACAGAAAAGCATTAACTTTAACGTTAACTGTTTATCACGGGCATCACGGATAGTGGGACACGCACTGGTGATCAAATAAAATAAACAGATAAGCATTAAGTGTTTATTCAAATGGAACACGCACTGCGATCAAACAAATAAACAGATAAGCATTAAGTGTTTATCACAATGGGAACACGCACTGCGATCAAACAAATAAACAGATAAGCATTAAGTGTTTATCACAATGGAACACGCACTGCGATCAAACAAATAAACAGATAAGCATTAAGTGTGTATCGCGGAGATCACAATGGAACACGCACTGCGATCAATAAAATAAACAGAAAGCATTAAGCATTTATCACGGAGAAGCAATGGAACACGCACTGCGATCAGATAAATAACTTTAAGGCTTTTATGACTAGATTCGACAAGGAACACGCTTGACGCTCTGTCAGGAAAATATTTTAACTTACAGGGTTAGTTTTAATTACTGCAGTTTGATTTCGTTCGGCTTCTCTGACTTATATAAACACACACACACAACGTTATAGCTCTATGAAAGACTCTGGAACACGCAGATATCTCAGCTATAACGAGGCATTTCTCTGGAAATAAGGAACACGCTTAATTCCTACCTTATTGTAGTGTGAGATCTTATATCTTAGTTAAAGATAAAAGAAAACAAAATAGGCGACAGACTAGACTTCTCAGCTTTCTCTGGGAGCTTCACTCACAGATAACAGCAGCAGCAGCATTCAATCGTGCGCGCGGCGCATACGTCACACACAGACTCGCGGAGGTTCGGATCTCGCATCCGCAACCAAAAATGAAAAGATAATTTCTTGATATATGTTCACAATTTAGGTTGAACTGCCCGCATTCACCACCAATATGTAGCAAATGCAACATATAATAATATACATAAAATGTATTAAAGGGCCGAAGGCCAATTTAGCTCAAAGGGAAATGATTCATTGATTTGCAATGAATCTATGGAACCGAATCACTGAACCGAGCAAATGACTCGCTTAGAGTTCATTTGAACGGGCCGTAATTATAACCAAATCTATAGTGAAACACTATGTCTTAGCAAGGTAACTTTAAATCGAACAGTACAAGACATTAAATGTGCAAACACGACACAAGAAGATTTATCTTTTCAAAATATATGGACAAGACTTTATTAGCTATTCTAAACACAAAACTAAGGTCTAAACATAATCACGCACACGCACACACACATTCATACAGTCGCGAAAGGGAAAGAGTGAGTTGGAAAGAGTGAGAGAGAAAGTGTCAACTTTCTATATGCACGTAAGACATAACCTGAAAGGACCACCAAGCATTAATTTGAACCTTCATTTCTTAGAGAGGTTATTCAATTAACATCAAAGCACCAGTTCAGTTAGAGCCTGGAGTACTTGCGCTTTGTAGTGGCTGAGGGAATTCCCTTTGTCTGCGTCGCGTCGAAGGGGGGTTTCCCGGCCGGGTCCGTTGCGTGGTTTGTTGTCTTTGAAGTGCAGGGAGGGATGGAAGTTTCACCGCTGGTCACGTGTGATTAGCAAGCGAATGAGAGTCTTTTCCAATTCGAAGCGCGTTGCAAACTTAACTTTGAAACGAGACTTTTACGAAAAAGGAAATAAAGGAAAGAAATGAAAGCAAGGCGAGTCGGATGGCTTGACTGAGCTGAATTGTAACCCTGATCTTGATGGGTTATTCGTCTGCTGGTCGAATTTGGTCTAGTCGATGTAGAAGCATGTGGACATGTTCTTTGTTTCAGAGATAAGCACGAACAGAACACTCTCTTGCTGGTTTTAGAGAGAGGCACGGACTTAACAGTTACAGAACAGAACAAAAATCACCTGAAATCTTCTAAAATCTACAAAAATCCGATCTTGAGGTCCTTTGTTCGGATCTTTAACTTAAACTCTAGTCCATCCTCCTAGAAACTTCAGGCCAATGGGTAATGGCATGATCTCAGGAGGTGGATCTACTTCTTTACTTATCATAATTTATGCATGGTCTGTGAGCTGGTCTCCAGCACTTAGCAGAGACAAAAGACCATCGTTTTAACCTTATGATAATTATAATCATAAAACAAAACCTTTTACGCAGATTTCAATCAAGCCATCTTTTGAATTACGAGAATACGGTTTGTTTAAGAGCAAACGAGGCATTCACACTTCTAATGGTTGTATAACAATTACAAGAGTTAATAGTTAACAACAATTACATGGTTATTATGTGATCTAAGCATAATAACACATGAAGTGTAGGAACAACAAGAATTATGATTGGTTATAGGTCAAGAATTGTTCTGTGGTGAGTTCATATTATTTTATGTGTGAGATCTTCGATCTCAACCGTAAGGTTACTGAGAGTTCAACTCGAAGGGGGACGAGGCAAAGGTGTTCTGTGGAACATCTCTGTCAGGGCATCAGAGGGGTCTTTGATGTGAGCATCTCGTTCCACCATTTTGGAGCAGATTTGTCTTAGTAAACATTAACATATCGACACGTTCGTCCTGTTTAGTGCCCATCTCTGGGGCCTGTGGGGCAATAAAAGTCCTTATCTGCAGACAGCACGGAGTCGTTCCGTGACTCTGGAATGTGGGCTCCAGAACTTGGAGTGTTGAAGCCATGTGAATTAATCCCATGAGAGATTAATTTGATTAAGTTGTGTTTGATTCGCCTCGATTCTCTACAGCATAATAATTCTGTATTTTTGTATACCATTACATCCCTACTATTTGTCCCAGACATAATTATCCACAATGAATTAAACAAGCAAAAAACGCTACACATCTTGCATACACATCTATGCAAAATTTCAGAGGAAACAAAACACAGCCCGATGTGCGTCTCTGCGGATTTCTAGAAACATTTCATCCAAAATTAGAGAACGTGAATAAAACCCTGGCAACTGCTCAAAAACCCCAATAAAACCCCAAAAGACCCAGCCATTCCTTCCTTCCAGTACTGCATCTTAAGAACAATCAACACAGATTTCTGTTGCATTAGCTTCAAGAATTCTATCAGTTATGCTCATTAATTACTTAAAACAAAACTAGATTTACCAAATGCCCCAAACCATCCCCAAACAATATACACAGACTATTAAACCTAATGAACACATCAAAGCAAAATACATTGGATGCAGAAAATACAACCAAGTAAATTGGAAATTATTTACAGGTACAAATCTCAACAGCAGGCACATTATTGTGATTTTATCCAATATATTGTGTCTGATAGCCTGGAGTGTCACCAGACTGTATGTACTGGCTACAGGACAATAATAGCTGGGATTGTTCTCCTCACCTTGAGGGTTAAATGTACTTAAGTACCTTCCTTAAGGGCACAAAGATGAGAGAGCTGTTGGGTCTTTCTCCAGTTCATTTATGAGCCTTAAAGGGATACTCCACTTTTTTTTGGAAATAGGCTCAATTTACAACTCCCTCAGAGTTAAACAGTTGAGTTTTACCATTTTCGAATCCATTCTGCTGATTATCTGATATTTAGAGTAATATCAGTAACCAGACAGATTCTGGTCCCATTGACTTCCATAGCCACTATGGATGTCTCTGAAGAGTACTGTTGTTTCAATGAGCGAGTGTGTCTGTGTTCTTTTGTCTGATGGTTTCTACAGTGAAGTGTAGAACTAGCCCATCACCTCCTCCTTGGAGTCAGAAGCTTCTGAAGTCGCTTCAGTCCATTATTTCTTCCGGCCTACTCAATTGTGCTGCCAATGAGCCTCCCTACAGCTATGGCCAGGGTTAGTGGAGACTCCATTCCCTGGGGGTCCAGCTGGGAAGGGACCACTTCGGGGCTGCACAGTCACATCTGTTTGCCTCTCCGGACTTCTGTCTGAGCGGACAACCGTTGGACAGACTTGGCTCTCAGCTGACCCCAGGGCTCCGCATTAATTTTCTTTCAGTGATTTGTCGTGTCGATCTTGTGTAGACAGCGTATGTAGAAATTAAATCAATTCTATTTGCTTTTGTTGTATCGTATCGCCCCGAACACATCTGGTGTAGACACAGTGTAACGCGCCAAGGAGGAATAAAATTAACATGTGTGGCTTCAACAACCAGATGCATTTATACTTATACCAGTTTTTGTGTGGAATGGATCTCGAACCTAGCCTGGCTCTGCCCTTCTACGTACTTTCGCTCAATTTTTATTTTCCTTCAGCACTACATCTGGAATTGTCTTGTATTCTTTGATTTTCTGCGGTCAGTTATTTACCGGTCCAATCATCAAACAGATGGTGTGACTGAGAACAATGACGTTGATGTTGTGCGTTAGTTTGAGTCGTCATACGTCACGACCAAACGTAAGTGACTGATTATGGCAGATCCAGAGTAACTCTGGGCAAACCCAATAGTTCTTAACTTCAACAGAGTACTTGTCTAGAAAGAAGTTAACACTTGTCAATGGAGCGGAGCCAGACTCTCTGTACAAATGAAATGTGTGAGAGTCTGGTGGGACCAGGCTATCTCAAACCACCTCCTCAAGTAATTTGAGTAATCTGATTTAAATCCGTCTTGAAAGCTTTTTGGGAGGTTTCACCTGGTCTAACAGCAAGTACTCTGATTTGTGGAGTTTTCTACACGATTATGGTTAGTGTAGTCTTTCACAGGAAATTAGGCAACTGAACAGTCATTTAAAAATAAAATCACTCTGAAGTGTCACTGCTACTAAAGCATATCATCATTTAACATCAAATTTCTTTGAATAAAATTGAGATTTTTACTTCTTAATGCTACTGTTGTGCTCGACTGAAGCTGTTTCATTTATGAATATTCTGCATTTATTTGTTTTGTAGAGTGTGGCAATGCAGAGATGAGTGAAGTGGTTAGCAGATTACGAGAGTGGATCACAGTTCTTCATGAGAGTGGCAATCCCAGCAAGAAATATAAGTTCCAGAAGCCAGAGAGAAGTGAGTACACACACACACACACACACACATCAAAACTTCTAATATGACTGCTAACCTAATAACAAGGACAATGAAATAAATGAAGAGTTCAGATGCAAAAGCCTCTAAGTGCCATTTGAAATTTTCTTCTAAAATGATCATTTTTATCATGCTTGTATATTTAAGTTCAGTAATTTCACTTAAATGGCAATGAAGATTACCTATTAATTGTCATTTAAGTGAAATTACTGAACTTAAATATAAAAGCTTGATAAAAATTGTCATTTTAGAAGAAAATTTCAAATGGCATTTAGAGGCTTTTGCATCTGAACTCTTCAAATAGAAAAATGACACTCAACACCTTTCTACAACCTCTCTATCTGTCTGTTTAGAGATGGACATGAGTAAGGTGCCCCTCTGTAAGGACTCTCTGGGCTGGATGTTCTCCAGACTGGACACAAACTTTGACCTTCAGCTCGACCAATCAGAGTTGTCCAGCTTAAACTCAGAAAAGAGTGATGTGTGCACTAAAGCCTTCCTCAGGTCATGTGACCCAGACAGAGACAGTCTTGTTTCCAGCCAGGAGTGGTGTTCTTGCTTTCAGAGATATCAAGGTACAGTAAAACTTATTGTAAACAAACTTTTCCCACATGTTTCAAGAATTTCAAGATAGAGGAGTACTGTCTCTAAAGCCAAAACCAAAAGACTATTCACATACTTTACCATTAGGAATTTGCACAAGCACACCGCCTGATATAAAGTTACAGAACAGTTACATAAGGCATAATAAACCCTGACAGGAAGATCAGGACCTTGACGCAAAGAAGACATGAAAGTAAAACCCTTATGTTGCTATAGACAATTCTCAAATATGTGTCCCTGGATCACAAAAGCAGTCACATGTCACATGGGTATATTTGTACAATAGCTAACAATACATTGTATGGCTCAATGTTTTGCTTTTTTTTTTTTTTGCTCCCTCAGACTCCAGATTTTCAAATAGATGTATCTCAGCCAAATATTATCCTATCCTAACAAACCATAGATCAGTTGAAAGCTTATTTATTTCAATAAGATTGACCCATGTGACTGGTTTTGTGGTCCAGGGTTACATTTTAGAGGTCACCAGTCATAATTTACGAATGGGAATTAAGTATTCCAGAACATAGGTAATGTTATATTAAGGGTGTACATGTTTAAATTAGATAATTTGTTCTGAAATAACATCTTTTATGAAATTGAATTATTTTAATTTATTTTGTAAATGTTAATATATATATATATATATACACTATTGCTTATATGTATGTATAATCTAGGGATGCAATTATACAGTTCGGCCACAGTTCAATACATACCTCGTTTTTTTAACCACAGTTTTCAGTTAAAGGGCATATTGCAGGTTAGAGGACCCAACGAGTCAATGCATAGAAAAACAATGTAGGAACTAGATTTTCTTTAAAATATACGTATAAACACGCTACAGAAGCTTCTGCAGTCGTTTTTGTGAGAAAATTTTACTTCCGCGTCTTAAAATGGGCGTGGCGGGCGTGACGCAATGAGCGGGAGAGCCGTCGATTCACACAACAGGAAAACAATGGATCGCATGACATTTCGGACGCTGAGGAAATATTCGTATGACGGATCAAGCCATAAAGTTATGAGCCTGCTATGCTAAAGAGATCAGGGACAGGCCAGGATAATGTCAGACAGAATGGTCAGAGAAAAATTGACCTGTGATGTGAGGAGAACCAGTGGAGAACAGGACAGGTGCCTTTTAGGTGAGAGACGTGCTTATAGGCTATACACGTTCGCTAACGATATACACTGTGCTCACAATATTGTACAGATTATTATGATCCTATAACAGGCCAGCAGACATTAGTATGTTTAGGGTAGATTTATATACTATTAAATGTATAAAAACTTTACTTGAGTACATTTCTATACTAAAAGCATAGGCTATACTCAGGTAAATTTTTAATACATATTTTTCACCTAGGTTATAACATAAACAGAACATTAAAGATTTGAGTATTTAAACAACCAATTTTGTTTTTCAATTACAAGTTCTATTTAGGGCATGACATGACTAAGTTACCTATATAACACTATTTGGTGCCATATTGGTAGTATACGACGATCAATATTCTTGCTTCGGCATACCATGTTGAACTCGTTGCCGGGATGCTAATCATTTGATCTGAAGTGAATACACACGACCGTGTTTTCCGAGCCGATGCAGAAGAGAAATCCCGTCTCTTCACCTGCTCAAACCGCACCAGGAACAAAAGATAGGCTATATAGCACCGTCACTTTTATTGTAATGGAAACTTGTGGACTCGATCTTGAAGTCCTGACAGGCTGGATTTTTTGCAATCTCCACAAACACAATAATTTACAATGACGATGATAAATTAAAATGCAAAAACTAACGAAAGCACACTGACTGACGAGCGCTCTCACTGAACACCAGCCTGCTCTTCACAGGCTGCGGCTCCCTGATATGACGTCAAATGACGCGATGTTGAAAAAAAAGCCGTTTTTACTAGCAGTCCAAGAAACGCTCACTTTATCTTCTAAATTAGTGCCCTTATGTTGTTTTAAAACATTTTAAATCCTGCATTAACTTTTCATATGGTATTTTCATACAAGGTTATCTATAAATTTCGATTTTTTTTTACCTGCAATATGCTCTTTAAGAGGAGACAAAATAAGGAGAAGGAGGAGAAATAAGGAGGAGAAAAAATAATAAAAAAATGATTTATTTCAATACTCCTTTATTTTACTTCAATGCTAAGAAAAGTCCACTCGTTCTAAGTGTATTGTATAATATAAAATTAACATTGACATTTCACAGCTGCTGGTAGCCAATGTACAAACTGGGGAACACATAAATTCCTAAATTTTGAAAATAAAAATACATGTGAAGTTGGTCAACATAAATTGACCATTTCAAATAAACATACTTTGTACTTGCACTTCAGTAAACATAAATTAACCATCTTAATTAAACTTAACAGTACTCCCCAGGACAGTATCCTTCATAAAGTGCAATCTATTCCTGTATTTTGATCCCCGCATTCCTAACCCCACAGATGTGCAGTCATGTTGGAAGTGTTTCCGTTTGAGTAAGCTACACATGTAAAAAAGTTTTTTCTTCCTCGGCATTATACTCAACGGCAAAACCCCCACACCCCTAAATCTCCCCACACCACGGATTTGAAAGACCCCTGTGCTTCCTCGTACTGTAGCCTCACTTCCCCGCCGCTCGCTATATTACAGTGTGGAATGATGGTTAAGCCTTATGACCCCTAACTTTAGAGCATAGAGATTGAATATTTACTCACGGGAGGGGGGTTTCCTCATCTCAGCTGGTAGATTTACAGGCACACACAAACAGTCAATTCGGAGAGAAATAAAACACACATAAATTCGAAACAGAACGGTTCAGAATTATATTGAGAATTGTGGCATCCCTAGTATAATACATTAGCTAAATGTTTTAATGGTTATTCATTTTATTTTATTTTTATTTACATAAAAATTTGTTAGAAATACTAATACTACCATATACAACCTTACTGTAACATGTTTTAAGAACATTTCTTTCTCACTTCTGAACTGAAAATCAATGCGTTTCAGAAACTCCCTGCCAATCAGAGATCACCATCATCCACAAACAACAAGCTGGGAAGAAATTACTTGGTGAGTCCAATCTCTTGTCTAGTTTGTTTCGTTTATACATGTAATTTTTGAAAACACAGAAAAAAGGGGTCTATGTTTGGGGTCTACCAGTATTTTGGCTTCATGTATTTGGCCATTTTGAGATTACAAGCCTTGACTGATAGTTGACTGAATCAATTGAAGTTGGAGTAAGAATTTCATTGGTGATTTTATCATCTATATTTATCATCTATATTAGCTAGATTAATGAATCAATCTTGTGTTATAAAATAAAAAATAAATAAAATAAAAAACGATTGACCTTATAAATTTACAATTGTCTGAAGCAGCGGTCGGGAACCTATGGCACGAGGTCTCTCACCCTTTACCAACAAATGAGCGGTACAAAAAACCAATAAGACACATCAATAAAGATCAGCTCTCTGCGGAAAAATCTGCCAGTTACAATTCCCTTGTAGCACAGTCTACCGAAGTTAGTTAAACGTTTATGATAATTATATTCTTGTACCGGCAAAAGTACGTATTCAGTGCTGGTCGCGCTCGCGAGTGTTTCGAGTCATTAGAGCAATCAACTTGTCTCTGTGATAACCTACAGCTCCTCCTCTGGGATTCAAGCAGCTGCAGCTTGTTTAAGGTAGGCCTAATGCCGAAAAGCAGCAAAAATGTAAAAGAAGGCTATAAACTTTAATACTTTCACTTTTGCCCTGAGACCCTTTCACTCTAAAAAATGCTGGGTTGTTTTAAAATATGGACAAAATATGTAAAATATGGACAAACCCAGCCATTGGGTTACATTTTTAACTACATTTTTAACCCAGTGGCTGGGTTTGTCCCTATTTTACCCAAAATTGGGTTAAAACAACACAGCATTTTTTAGAGCGTATGACACATGATAAATGCTGTATTTTTGATAATCCACGCAGATTTCAGTTGACTATTGTTTAAACTTATTAATAACAAAAATTGAAGGAATGAAAAAGAGCAGGATGTGCTTTATAATGAAAAGAAATATTAAAAGCAGGACAAGTCACGAAAGAGAACGGAATTACTGGCAGGATGCTGTGCGTGTGCGCTCTGAGCGCAACACAGAAAAGCAGAGTAGGCCTTTGTCTTTGGTTGCGCACCAAAATGGCCAAAAAAATACAGAAATATATCTATGCCAAGTCGAATATTCACGTGAACACAGTAGATTTACTGTGTTCTCTCTCACTCTCACTTTCTCTCACTTACGCAGACAGAAAGGATTTATGCTCATCAGTTGATAACTCAACCTCACAGTGAAAGCCCTTCACAATTAATATTAAAACTTTGCTAAATATTTGTTTGATTTTAGCCTAATACTGTTGAAATTTGTGGCTCTTTTGGAAAAATGCATTAACCAAAAATGAAAAAATGGCTCTTTGGTCAAAAAAAGATTCCCCAACCCTAGTCTAAAGCATACTTTTTAAACGTAATTTTTCATCATACGTTTTGAACAGATTCAAACTGAATAGAGGCTAAATGATTCCATGATGCATTACATGATACTTACATGATATATAATTGTCATTTAACAATTTTGTCTGACATACCTTATTGAAACAAAGTGCATTAACCCTCTGCGTTTTGATCTTTTTTTTTTTTCACATAGCTGCAACATATTTAAAATACTCCATCATTAATGGTCATATAAATAAAATCAATACATGATTATAAAGATAGAGAAGATAGAGGGTCTTCTTTTTGTGTACACTCTTATTAACATTAAAACCTTGTGTTTTTGTAAAATAAATAAAATAAACAGGGTGCGCTTTCAGCTCACTCTCCGCAAAAATCTTTCTGAAATGAGTCCAAAAAAATGAACTGTAACTCAGTAAATACTTGTCACAGAGACACGAAAGATTTCTCTTTATGAAGCTGAAATTCTCTTCTTTTAAATCAAGTTATTTAAATTAAAAAAAATATTCTCAGTTGATGTAATCTGTATGAAAATAGAGAGATGTCAGTCTTTTTCCTTTCACCTAATTAAAGCGTATGACGTGTTAATGTGACCCCACCTACTGAGAGCGCACGCTATTCAAACGCTCACATCAGCTGGATAAAACATCCAGTTATCACAAATCTAACCTTTACCTCGTCTTGCTGCACTGTGAGGAATAATACTGTCATAATAATACTGGAAAAATTACCTCAGCAGCTGATACAAGTCATTTATTCTTAAGTGCTTTGTTCTAATCGCGTTATTGAATAGTGTCTGTAAACTGTACAAAGACTGTTTAAATATTAAATGCGCGCACAGACAGACGCGTGTGCACTGTGCGTTCATTCACTCTCGCTCCTAAATTAATAAGACTATATAGACTGCTGAGATTTCTTCTATACTGATCTGTAAAACCAAAAAGACTGTTTAAATATGAATCAGGTGTGTGAACGAACGAACGAACAAACGCGCAGATGCATAGCCTACTGTTACAGACGAAATAGATCATCAAGTTTTTACTATAAAATAGTAAAATATAACCCAATTCACAGATTTATGGGAACGATTAGGCAGGATGATTTTCAGATCATTGTGAAGAAAAAACTCTAGGCCACAACATCCATTAGTCAAAAGTAATGTGGACGCATATCTTGTATGTGTTTTGTGGCCTTATTTCAGAAACTTTCATTTTTAGTTTTTTCAATAACCACATTCTCTCAAAAATAAAAACATGTACATACATGTTGCTCACATATTATGGTAGCCCTGTTTGTGCTAAATATAGTGTAATTTCACATGTGCCATTAATATGTTTATAAGCAACTGAAATGTCAAAATGTCAGGGCATGTCAGAACACCTCAAGGACCCCAAATACACCTTGGGGTTAACATTAAACACTAAAATCTATTCTAGAATCACAGCTGTAAACACCAGACTTGTGTTCCATAGTTTCAAATCTTTTAAACTTTTTTCCTCAGCATTTTACACAATGTTCATATATAAAGCACTAGCATTTAACAATAATCTCAATGTCATTACAACCTGAACACAGTTACAGTAAAACCAGGGTGCCAAACAGCGAGAGGCAAGCCAACATTAATTCTATTAAAGCTAGAAATCACTCAGAGTTTCTTTCCCTCACTCTGAAGGTCGCATGTTTAATTTGAGCAGGGGAATGAGATGAGGGGAAATTGGACATGAAAAAAAGGATATTTTTAACTGCTGTTTCTCCCCTGAGTGGAACGCACAGTGGCGGCTCTATGGCTTCCGGCACTGAATTATAAAAAGACAAAAAAGAAAGAGAAAGATAAAAAACAAAGCTTGACTGTGGTGATTCTGTAGCAAGGAGCTGTAAAGTTGAAAAGAAATGAATGTGAGCGAGAGACTAAGAGAGAGAGCAAGCTCTCGGAGGGAGGTGACAGTTATGTTCTCTGACATTGAATATATCATCTCCCTATCTGTATGAGTGTGGCTGTGAGACACTCTCTGTGGCTGTGTATAATCTTGTCGGTGATGTAATGTTTCCTGACATTAGGACTGATGTGTGTGTGTGTGTTGTTTGTGTAGGTCCATACATCCCCTCCTGTGATGAGAATGGCTTCTATAAGCCTCACCAGTGTCATGGTAGCAGTGGTCAGTGCTGGTGTGTCGACCGCTATGGAAACGAGGTTGCGGGGTCTCATACCCACGGGCCTGCTGACTGTGGTAAGAGGGGCTCATCATATGTAACCTCACATCTTTAGATTCATTATGTAGTAATGAGAAAAAAGTCAAATAAGTAATCTGTTTAATATGTAAAATATAGGGATGCAATGAACTTCACAGAATTCTTGGCTGATACGATAACCAATCATTTTACATTTCGCATTTTAGAACTGGAGGGGGCAAGTTAATAAGCTAATAAATTAGGAAACAATCACTTGACAAAATAGATCATTTAAAAAAAAAAAACTTCCAATCTGGAATTTACAATGCGAATAAATATTCTGACGATCAAACTGTAGCAAATATTTGTAAAAATTGCGTTCAATAACAATTACACTAGATGAAACATTAAGTCCTTGGTTTCAAGACTTTATCTTGACATGGTGTCTTAAAAACTTGTATGTTAGGGGACACTGTTGAATCATTGAATCTGATTCTAATTCTAAGGTGTGTGATTATTTTCGGGAGGCACCTAGCCAACGCGCAGAAATGCACAGCTAAAGTAGTTCCAGGCAGGTTTTGACCGCATTAGAGTATCACTTTGTTTTCGTTATTATTGCAGATAATATAACGTCTCAGTTATGGATGTAACCCTCGATCAATATAAAAAGAGCCAATGGCAAAGAATTGCCATGGGTCTGCGGAATTTGCATAGTGTATCTCCACCTTACCTCGTGGGTATAAAGGAGGACGCCAGCAACACGCAGATATGTTGCTTCGCTGAGGAGCCGAGACTGAACTCAGGCGATCCCTGTGGTACAGCAGAAAGTGGAAGGAAGACGTAACGTCTACCGTTCCCCACTCAGGGAACGAGGGTTACATCCGTAACCGATATGTTCCCTTTCACTGCGTAAATCTGGAGATCCCTGTCGTGAGACTGGCATGGACGAAGGACTCCTATTTAGCACAGGAATACCAAGGTACACTGGGGAGCATATCCCATAGCTTAGAGGAAATATGCAATTACTGCCAACCCAGAGTGGGGGGACTTAGAGAATACACATATGACCCAGAGGGATGCATATGGAGAACACTGGGGTGTCCTGTCGCAGGTGGAATATTTCAACCCCAGGGGTGGCAAGGTGGCAAATACACATGTGGGGGTCGCTCAGGGGAGGGACCATGCACACGGGAGGTACCTAGCCAACGCGCAGGCAATAGGTACTGGCGCCAACGTCAGGAGTGCTGGAGGAACTCAGGGCTTTCGGGGAAGCTAACCTGAGGAAAATAATTGCACATACCCAGTCCGTAGAGTGGAATGGCGAGCAAGTGAAGACACCTGAGCGGGTCTGGTACTAGCTGGTTAATGCGAGTACATGAGAGGACACTGGCTTCACTCTGGCTAGAGATTTTAGGATCTACCGAATGTGTTGGGTGTCGCCCAGCTCAGCAGATGTCTGTTAGCGAGGCGCAATGCGCTAGAGCCCAAGAGGATGCCACACTCCAGGTGGAGTAGGCAGTCACACCAAGGGGATGCAGTCGACCTTGCTGCTGGTATGCTAAAAAAATGGCGTCCACTATCCAGTGTTGCCATGCCCACCTTGGTCACAAAGCCAAAGCTAAAACGGTCTTATATGAAGCAATCCGAGTGGTGTTGCCACAGCTGCAGATGCCAAATGCCCCAAGAGCCTCTGAAAACGATTCAGTGGAACCGCACTCTTGCCTTCGAACAGTCACAGGCAAGTCAAAAGTGACTGTGCATGCTCGCTTGTAAGCTGTGCAGACATGGCGACCGAGACGATATCCATACCGAGAGAAGAGAAAAGTTTGCTCTTTTCTCAGTTGACCCGAAGGCTCAGATGTGCTATGTGCCAGAGCACTAGGTCCAGGATGTGCCTTCGGCAGTGGGCAGACTGTGGGATCTGAGCAGACAGCGGGGCCGTGGGGAAGAATAAGCCTCAGTCTGCTCGTGGCCGAATGAGAACTGTTGGGCAAAGCACTCAACCTCACCGCCGAAGATGCCGACCTGGGATATGGGGGTGTCAAGCAGAAGGATCCGCCCAACCTCCTGCACGTCGGACAGGTTCAGCCACAGAATGGTGGCCATCACCTCATCCAGGTGAATGACCATGGCATGCAGAGAGGCGGCTGCCTGTCCTGTAGTGCTATAGAATTTCGCCACAAGTGTAGACGAAAAGCTACAGGCGCCGGACGGGTGCTTAGGATCGCGCCGAGAAGAAGTACTCTGAGAACACAGTAGCATTGCAACAGAGCGTTTAACCCGGAGGGATCCCAGTGTACCCATGGGCAGCGGTACTGTCGAGGGAAGGAAAGGCGGAGGAGATCAACAAGGGATCGCTGGAAGACATGAGGGTCTTTGAAGATATTGAGATCTCCTGATGCACATCCGAGAAAAAAGGTATTGGAGTGGACACGGACAGGTGTCAGCGGCCACACCCAAAAACCAATCGTCCTGGGAAACCATGGCCGTCATCTCAGGATCTGACTCGACAAATGCGATATGCACACACGAAAGTGGCAGCACTGTCTTATCTTCACTTCCTGAAGATATTAGCCCACCCTGTGATGGACAACAGATTCGATTCTGGAGCGTCAAGGGAAACCTGTGGCACATATGAAAATAGACCCGGGGAATCCCCTGAACACTTGCGGGTTGCATCACTAAAGAGTGGTCTACGGACAAACAGTCAGTGGTTTGTTCCACACTCACACCCTCAGGTCACCCTGGCCACCAGCCCAAGTAGCACCTCACGTGGAGAGTGTTAGATCTCTCTCATGAGATCATTGAGTCTCGATCGTAATGATGCGATTGTCATGTTCCCGTTGGGAGAACGTGAGTCATCCACAAACGCTGCTCTAACATGATCAAGCCCAAGCACGCAGAGTGGCAATGTGAACTCACTGCAGATCGCCATCACACCAACACCGGAGAGAGTGGTCAGAAATGGCTGTGGAGTCAGAAATGGCTTTGGAGTGAAAAAAATAATCTTTGCTCCGAAATGAATAAATATCAGCATGTTGCCGGCGTCTTCCATTATACCCATGAGGTAAGGATTAGATACAATATGCAAATTCCGCAGACCCATGGCATTTCTTTGCCATTGGCTCATTTTATATTGATCGAAGCTGATAGGCCTTCTAAAGCCCCTTTCTCACAGAGCGTTGATCCCAGGAAATTGCCGGGAAATTGCCAGAACGCCTTCTGTGTGAACGCAAACACGACCCGGGATCGATACCAGGACTGATCCCGGGTTGGGGGATCTAGTAACATTGCCGAAATCAGTCCCGGAACGAGCGCTGTGTGAACAAAAGCCAGGACCAATGCCGTAAAGGGTGCGTCATAGTGATGACGCTCGTGCCATTGCGCGACTCTGTTGCTCTTAGAAGAAAGTTTGTGTTCGTCATCAACAAAGAAAGGACGAACAAATACCTGCAAACTGGAGCGAAGCAGAGACCAGGAGCTCCTCACTATCCGTTGAAGCTGAGATCGTTCACCAGCTTTGTGGAATGGTATGCGCGTGTACATGTTTTCGACGCGTCCGTTATACGTCTCATCCTGGCGTCATGTGTCTTCCCGGGATTTTTTACGGGTTTTGTGTGAATGCACTCACAGTTCCCAGCAAATCACTGGCAGTGTGAATGAACCGAAATCAAACAATCCCAGGACAAATGCTGGGTCACATTATCCGTGTATTTTCGGGAATCTCTGTGTGAAAGGGGCTTAAGTGAAAACCCATTCGTCGTCATCAGATGACAACGAAAGGGAACAAATAATTACATAAATAATGATAGGCCTACATGTTAAAAAGGCTTTGTGTTTAATTTATTAGGCTAGCCTACTGTCAATAATAGAAAAAAAAAATCACGAATAATTAAAACAAATTAATAAATAACTAATATTGACGCACATACTTTTCTGTCTTATTAATGCAATCTATCGATCAAAATATAAAAACAGTAATATTGTGAAATAATACTTTTTTTAAAAAAACGTAATGAATTCCTTTGATGGCAGAGCTGGATTTTCAGTGCCACATGATTCTTCAGAAATCATTCTAATATTATGATTTGCTGCTCATGAAACATTTCTTATTATTATCAATGTTGAAAACCGTTATACATTTTTTCTTCAGGATTCTTTGAATAAAAGAAAAGTCAGCATTTAAGAACAGCATTTATTTGAAAAAGAAATCTTTTATAACATTATAAATGTCTCTGTCACTTTTGATCAATTAAATGCATCCTTGCTGAATAAAATAATTATTTTATTTCAAAAACAGCAATGACCTGTGTTCATTGTAAGAGCTATAAAGTTCCAAGAAATCAAAAGATCTACTGTTTTTTTTTTTTTTGTTTTTTTTTCAGCCGGGGAGTCTTCCGGAGATTTTGGCAGTGGCGACGCACTGCTCTCAGATGATGAGGATGGAGATGTTGTAAATGATGAAGAGGAGATGGGAGATGATGATGATGAATATGAACAAGTTGATGATGAGTATGGGTACCTGTCATAATCATTTTTTTTTTGTTTTGTTTTTTGTTTTTTTATTATATAAAACATAATATAAAAAAAGGAGCCAAATAAAAAAAAAAACAAATTTTCATTTGGTCTTAAAGCACGTTTCTAGGTGACCTTGGCAGAGTGCAGTACTAACATTACTAAAGGGTCCATCTACCCCTTGTGCTGTATAACATTTGTACAAAAAATAATAATAATACTCAATAACCACGTTTCATTTTTGATATATTTGTTATATTCATCCAAAGCGAATAAGTGTATTGACAGACCTAGAAGTTCAGGAATTCATAAGCGGGTTTGATGAGAAATTAATGAGGGTTAATTTAAGAAATTAATGAGGTTGTAATGAGATATTAATGAGGGTTAAATGTTTGCACTTATAAACATGCACACAAATACACATACAAAATACATGCATACACACACCTGAAGGCATGATCCATGAGCAACTTGCTCCGTAACTCTTTACACCTGCTGTGATTTTAGTCATGCCATGAGGTCTTAATGTTGATTTTAACACATTTTGTCTCATAACAGTTCGCCACAATCACATGCCTACTCTTATTTATCATAATTTTTTTTCATTAGAAGAATGAATATTTAAAACTACTGATGAATTATCAATATGTATTAACAGTTGACATTTAAAGGTCAACATTCTAGAGCAAATTGTTTGATGTGGCCTGGATTGACCACACTTCAGACACACAATAAAATAGATGTGACTGCAGTTGATGTTACGAGAGGACAGTCATGCTATTTACAGAGGCTTATACACACACACACACACACACACACACACACTTATCTTGTGAATAGTTTGGCAGTCCTTGGGCATGAGGTGCCTTTGACGCAACACAGAGGAACGGGTGGAAAAGAGGTCTGGGGAAAAGAGAGAAGGAGATATTTAGAGTTAGAATGTAGAACTTGACTGCCATATGAATAAAAAAATGAGAGGTTTTTATGTCACGTTCTGTTGTTTTTGTCTATAGGAGAAAGTGAACATGATTAGTTAGTTTGCATATGTTACTGTAGACAACAAATCATATGATAGATGCTGCTGTCACTAATTCTCCTCGTCCCTCTCAGTGCTTTTGCATTTTCTGTCAGATTTGTTTTCATAATGTGCATATGAAAATATTAATTTCCTTCTATGGACATTGTGGTGTTTCCTGAAAAAAAAAAAAACATATTTGGTTCAATGAGTTTATGATAATCATTTACAGGTAAAAGGAACTACTGTACCTTTATCAGTATTGTCCAGCTGTTGTCATAGAGATAACACTTTTTGGTTTGTTTGTTTGTTTGTTTGTTTGTTTGTTTGTTTTTTACAGTATACATATAATTTGCTCAAATAAAGTTACACAGACCAAAACAGTTTTTCGTACAGTAATTGTGTGTGTGTGTGTGTGAGTGAGAGAGAGAGAATTCTGGTGTGCCTGGTCTGGTTAGTGCTGCATTATGTATAAATGCAATTTTAATATTTTATATGCCACAATTTCTCATCTATACACACACAGCCTCAAACACTCACCACACTTAAACTGGGGCATCTGTGGGGTTGAACACTTGTTTAATCATTTAAACACAATCATGTGCCTGTCAACGTGTGTATGTGTGTGGATCAAATTTACATTAGTTCTTTTGGATCATTTCTCACTGAATTAAAATAATACACATCTAAAATATGATGCAAAAACAAAACAGTTGCAGCTCTTACTACTGTAGAACATTAGAATACTAAATATGTTTGTGTATATAATGTAATAATAATAATATGTGTGTAATGTAAGAATGTGTGAGAGTGCTTTCGTTTTAAAATGTGTGTGTATTAGTGTGTGTCTGTTAACAGTGCTGTACTAGGAACCAACTGGATAAACAGAAAGTGTTTTTATTCACCTTTCCCCTTCCTGTCATAGAAAACCACACTACTGCTGGCTTTGGACTGAAGTCACACACATTCTCTTACAAATCAGCCAAATGAGGACCATTTCAATGCAAAACAACATCCCAATGCACTTAAACACATACAGGAATGACCCTTAGCCTCTTTAAAAATTAATAGAAAAGTTTTTAAGCTTCAGGTGAATGAACACATATTTAATTTCCCTGGAAACACACAAGGCAGTAATCTAAATTAATATTTCATTGCAGTTCAGACTGATCAGTTAGATGAGGAGCAACCTAAATTCAGACAACAAAAATTCCCAAATATGCTGTATCAAGCTATTGCAGAACAAATCGAAGACATTTGGATTGCATATCATGTGGTTTTAGGGAAGTTAACCGAAAAATTACATATCTGTCTGTATACTCACCCACCCCATTCCGTTTCAAACCTGCATGCTATTATATATACATAACAACTTATTTATGCGTAACATACTCTTTCTCACCTGGTCTGGGCTTGCTTGTTTGTTTTTTAATAATAAAAAATTCTATTTTTGTCAAAAGTAAAGTTCCTTTCACACCAAAAGTGGAAATTGCAAATGGAAATCACTCCTGTACAGTAGAGGACACTAAACATTTCAGCTGGGCTGCCATTTTTGATAGCAGAAGAAGAGGATAAAGAAGAAAGTTCAAAACTCTTACTTCAGCAATAATAAAATAAAACAAAAATATTAAACACAAATGTGCTGTTTATCTAAATTAATTTTTGCATTAGATAAATCAACTTTTGCTTTGGTTGAATTGGATCATCAAAGGTCAGCAGCAAAGACATTGGTTAATAAAGTGATATTAAATACATAAAGTGTATTTCTATTATTGAGCATATTTTTATTCATTTTGATGAATCTGTTTTTGTGCAAGTGAGATGGGTACATTTAGAACATCAATAACTGTCATATTTACACAGCACACAACACCTCTTATCTGCACCTCACTCATGTCTGATGTCACACAACAATGACATGGTACTGTATTTCATAGTTTTTACTTGTTTCTACTTCAAATTGGACAGTAAAATTAAAGTAAAATTAGTAAAAAAAAAATGAAATACATAAAGCCACATTAGACCTTAAATCATTTTTCTCTGAAGAAATTTAACAGTTAACCTATTAACAGCTTTTTACTGTAACATTATTAGCCATTTTCAGTAAAAAAAAAAAAAGGCAATTTGTACTCATTTGTGTCCATAATTCAAAAAGGAAATGTGTTCAGTTACACACCCAGTGCAATGTGCCATTTTTGAATATGGACAAGGATAGAAATGAGCTTTGTATATTCTTTTTAAGACTGTGTTTCTTTTCAAATTTGTCATTAAACTATCAAGTCATTTTCATGACAGGTTGAAATAGCTTATTATGCTAACAACGGCACATTCACACTTTTTACTGTACATTCACATCAACACCAAAGTAAATTTGGTTTTACTAGGCCTGCGCTGTTAGCGAACACACTGCTGCTGGTTTTATCTTCCCAAATCATTTCCCTGCAGGATTCGAAGAAGAAGAAACATTTCCCCCATCCTCGCTGTCTTTGACTCTTTGTCTCTGTCCTTTCCTCCAGTTTAATGTGAAAATCATTAGCTTCGATCAATGACTGTTCCACCTCCCTTCTCTTGTGTGGAGCAAGCTAGCGGATTCTTTCTGCTCATATCAGCGAAGCCCATTAAAAATGAAGAAGTCACATGGCAAACACAACTCTTCGCCGCTGCTCATCGATTCATAGTTTCTTTTTTATCAGAATGGTTTTTAAATGGGTTCAAAAGATTTGACTGTAACTGCACAATTCTATCTCGAACCTCCCCTGGGAGTCATATTGATCTATTTGTGTGTATCTGTGTCTACAGTTCCCAGTAGAAAACTGATGGAAGTGAAATTGCATTGTGTGATAAACTATTTCCAGCATCGCGTAGCAACCAGAGCAAACTAAAGTCCGGGGAGAAATATAGTTTGTAACTATACTTGACGGCACACTTCAAGCAGTCCTTAAAGAGACAGACACACCTCACTGATCCTTCTTGAATTTCAAAAATTAAATAAACAATAACCTGTTTTTTAATTTTTCCTTTTTTTTTTCAAAGCTGAAGCTGGTCAAATCAAGGTTCAGTAATCAGCGTGGTCAAGAGCGACAGCCTGACCTCCTCCTGCTGGCCATAGAGAAGGATAGGAATCGACAAGAAAGAAGATCGGAAGACCCTAATAGGCACCTTCTCCTTTGAGGCTTTGCATGTTGTTTAGTAAATTTGGAGAAAGGTTGTGATTGAGTGCTGTATTTCAGTTTTTTACTTCTTTGTGTATATATATATTTGAATAAATATCCACACTGTAAAAAAATATATATATATTGTTGGTTTAACTAAAAAAGTAAGTAACCTGGTTGCCTTAAAATTTTAAATTCATTGAAATTGAAAAAGTGAGTTAATTCAATGAAGAAGAATGATTTAATCATCAGAAACTCAAAATTATATGTTATCTGAACTAAATAAATTATTTAAGTTGATTTGATAAAAGAAAAAATGTTGGGATTACTAATCCTGAAATTCTCAGTCCTTCATATCAGTGAGTTAGTCTTTTTTTCAGGTCAGAGCAACTGCCCCTCAAAATTCCTGTGCACATCCCTGAAAGAAACTAATATATACAACTGGTTTATGTTCATTGGGATTCATTATACACATTTGCCAGTCCATCACAGCTGTGCACCATTCATAATTGAATTGAGAATGTCCTTAAAATTCCATTTAAATTGAATTTATAAGATATAAATCAAATTCAAGGATAAGTGGTAGTTTAAGTAATAGGCATGCATTTAATTTTTCAGAATGAATTACCCATAAACATTTTAAACACAACATGAGGTATCTCTAGAAACTAGATTATATTAAAATATATAATGAACACATAATTTTACAAAACATTCTCTGGTTCATGATATTATTGTGTATTATTATAAATGCATCCGTTTATTAAAAAAAGTATTTCATGTATTTGGCCTTAATTAATTATATAATTACTTTTACAATGTTATAAATTTCCACATTTATATATTCCATGATATTTAATATTAACTTCTTATTGGCAATAATGTAAGAACACACTTAATTTCAAACATAAATGTTTTACACCAAATTTTGATAATATATATATCAATATTCTTTTCCTGTCATGTTGATTCAAATTCCAATCCAACATCCTGTGTTGTAGTATATTCAATTCAAATTCAAAGACATGCAATGAAAGTTAACTGTTAAATTTAAAATTGTGCCCAACAACAGTGCAGCCACAATCATCTGTAATCATCTGAAATATCACTTTTGACAAAAGGCATAGGAAATTTGGTCTAATTTATTTAACCTCTGAAATAAAACAACTGGTTTCCCACATTTTTTTTGTGGGGGGGCCAGGTTTATCCATTAATTGAGAGTGTAAAAAAGAAATAGGTATTTTTTTATTTTGCTAAGCAAAAGAAGAACTAAACCTATGACAGGTAAGTGCAGAGAATCAGTGCGTTTCCTGGAATTACTGCATTTGTAATTGTGTGGGAATAATGGGACTTTCCAGTTATCTGAGAGGTGGGTGATAAAAGGCTTTTACTGGCAGACAAAAAGAGTGTAATCATCATCATGATTAAAAGAGGAAAGTGTTCAGAAAGGGATGGGAGGGGGAGAAGAAGAGAGGAGAGATGGGAGAGCAGAGAGCGAGGTTGTTTTCCTCTGAAACTGTTGTTTATAGAGGGTTTGTGTGTGTTGCACAGATCAATGCAACTCATCCACTTAAATCTCCTGATCCATTCATCAATACAAACTAATGAAACAACCAGACACAGACAGACACAAATAGAGAGATGGGGAGAAAAGCAAAGCAAGAAAGACAGAATAAAAAAAGGACCTATAGTTACAATTATACATACAATAAGCATTAGGACATTTATCAATACAAATATCATGCCACTGCATTGAAGGTTATAAAGATGAATGTAATTATTATAAAGCAATATCACAAGTGTTGTTGTAATTGAGGTGTATACAGTCCATATGATATTCGGTTGTAAGTGTGATATTTATATAACTCTTCAAAAAACAAAGTCAATATTAAGTTACTTACATTTTGAAGCCAGTTACTTTGTCTATTTCTACTCCCACAACAAAAATAGTTCCAAACAAACCCAAAGCATATTCAACTGCTACGTCTCCAGCAATACACAGCAGTGGTGATTCGTTCATGAATGACTCAGTGTTATTAAACAAATGGTTGAGTCAATGATTCAAATGGTACTCAACACCCTAGGCCTACTCCTGCAATGAGATAACCTGTACAAAGAAAGAATCACTGGAAAATCCCCACCATTCACAGTCTGTCTAGAATTCACACACACACACACACACACACACACACACACACTGGCAGCGCCTGCTGGCCAAAATGGTGTAAATGCAACAAAAAAACCAACCATGTACAAAACACACCTTTTACACAACAATTTCGAATGTTTTGTGCTTCAAAACATAAATGGCCATTCACTGCCATTATAAACCTTGGGATAGTCAAGACATTTTTTATATATATAACTCCGATTATATTCGTCTGAAACAAGAATGCCATATAGGCCTACACCTAGGATGGCTTGAGGATGAGTACATCATGGGGTATTTTCATTTTTGGGTGAACAATCCCTTTAATGAGTTAGACATTAACAGAGTTCCTGTTGGTATCAATATTTTATTGACAAATTTCTTGTAAAAGTAAGTAATGGAATAATGTAGACCTGAAGTTTAAGGAACTGGTCTTTGAAAATCTTTATTCTGAATATTATGTTATTATTGTAATCAGGGGATGCTAAAAATTAAGGAATTTGACTCTTTTCAAAAATGGTCTGTTGGCTCATTTCTGTCAAAGAGACCTAACCTTAGGCCTATTAGGCTAGAGGGAAAATCCGATTAAAATCACAACGTTATCTCTTAGTAAATACCTAGAAAGAATGAGGGAGAGAAAGAAAGGAATAATCCTCAAACCTAGGACAACAGAACAAACACAATCCAATCAATGCAGCTGAAAAAAATTAACAGCTATAAAAAGACACACAGAGAAAGCTTGATGAATTTCCTCTTGATGATTTACATAGCCTGAGGTCCATTGTGTGATGCTCAAAATTAAAATTCAAACCCAGATTTCACTCACCTGATTCGCACGAATACACAATAAAACAACGATTTAACTCCATCCATCTCAGCGTCCATTTTTGCCACGTGTTAATGGTAAAGAGCGTGCTCCCATCTAGTGGTAGTTTGCTGATATTACTTCCAGAAGACATTTATTTGACTGAATGCAGACTTTGTCGATTGTTATAATTTGCAAGGCAATACTGTCAAAGATAAAGCATTTAATACAATAAAATTATATATATAAAAACATTTTATTTAAAAAATTCTAAAATAAAATGACAATTGTTTAACAATGATTTATCAAGCCTATTACTAATTGTTCACCATTGGATTTTTGTCATTCTTATGTAGCCTACATCAGTGCTTGTACTGTATGTGTGTGTGTGTCTGTTACAGGCTGTTTGAAGCAGAAGGAAAGGTGTTTGTTTGTCCACATGACATTACTCTCACCATATGGTTCATGTGAGGCTCCACAGAGTAATCCACTTTAGCTCCTCGAAATACGCACTTGTTCTTTCATGGTGGGAACTTTCCTATGGAGGACCAAACCTATAAAAATTAAAAACGAATAAATAAATAAATGACTATCAATACTTTTATTTCCCTATTTATGTATAATTATATGTTTTCACACATTTATTTATGCATTTATTTTTTGTATATGCATTTACGTCAACATTTTTTTTATTATAAACGTATTTATTTATTCATTTATATATTTATTTCTCTGTATGCTAATTGGGGGGAGGGGGGGGGCATGACTTTACAGGTGTCATATGAAATTTAAAAAACTTAAATAGTAGGCTATTTGTGTCATAATATAGCCTATAATGTAGTTTCAACAAAATCCATCTTAGCACTGCAGATGTGGGACGTGCAGATGCTGACTGTGAATGACATTAGATATTATTTAAAAAGACTGTTAATGCAGAGGAGCCATGGGTGCATTTACACCGCAATTACAATAGCCTAAATAATGTTAAAAGATTTTTTTATATATATATATTGTCAACTTCCTAAAAAAATTCCCTAAATTATCTTTGACAAAAATGATTTTTTTATGTCATCTCCTCATGATGCTGGCCACTTTTGGTAAAATGCCCACATCCTCAATTAAACAAATCATGCAATTCTACCCCATAGTATAATGGCCTATGTCAAGTGTGTGCGCCGCTGTCTGAGGAAGCGAAAAGCAAGCCTAGGACAGTGACTCGACAGCTGCTTTCTTCAGAGTCGCCGCAGTCAAGTGCCCACCTCCAGGTCCGCGCCCTTTCTTGCTAGAGCGTGGAACGCACCATTCTCTGCGAGGCTCCACTCTCAAGTCTCCGTCTCGCTCTCCCAAGTGGACAGCGCTGCCGAGAAGGAATATTCTTCTGCTCGGCCTGTAGAGGAAGCAGTTGCAGCGCACCTTTGTCCGCCCTCCGCGACATGGCACTCAATGTGTCATGTCGCGGACACATGTCATGGGGCGGTAATACTCCTAAGCGGTGAGCAGCCGGTAACAAAAAGCAGTCGAAGGAGAAGAACGCCCTCGTCTCAGTTCTCGCGCATACGCCCTTAAGGAAGTAATAGAATAGTCGAATTAAGTCGTTATTTATGTTTTTTTTCGCACAAAAAGTAGTCTCGTCGCTTGATAAACTTATAATTGAGCCGCTGTAGGCACATGGAATATTTAAACCTTTTCTTTAATGACTTTAGGGGCTGTCAAGAGCCAGTCCCTTAGGCAGTCTATGTAGGACTGATCCAGCTCTCAGATTCAATCAAAAATATCTTTATTTGTGTTCCGAAGATGAACGAAGGTCTTACGGGGTTGGTACAGCATGGGGGTGAGTAATTAATGACTTAATTTTCATTTTTGGGTGAACTAACCCTTTAAGAACAAATGAGACAGCACATTTAATTGACCTGACATGAGTTTAATCACTGTTGAGAGTGAAGAGTCCTCCATTATTAGGCTGATGATGAAACATTTTTTTTTTTCACATTATCATACGTCATAGTTCATCAACTAGTGGAATCAACAGGAGCTTGGCACATACAGAAATACTCACACGAGTCAGAACAGTCACATGACCTGTGACCAATAGATGCACACATACATATGTCACAGTTCACAGTCTTACTGCCGACTTTAAAGCATTAAGATTAATGTAACATTATTTGTGTGTGTGTGCGTGTGTGTGTGTTTGCACATGATCATATATAAGCATAAATGCAGATATGTGTGCACGTGTTTGTGTAACTGGACAGAATGGGACGGCATTTCAGGTCAGTCCATTTAAAATTCTTTTTTTTAACATAAAGGTTCAAGTTCTTAAAACTTAATATCAAATAAAATATTATAATAATTTGAGGGGAAAAAAACAATTATCTACAGAAACATCATCATGTGCAAGAATGTACATTTTGGTTCTAAGGCAATAATCGTTCCTCCACAACACCAGTGCTGTCAATGCTGTGAGTTAATGTTCTGTGTTGATTATAAGCAACATTATTTTAACGTTGCCTCTCCGTTGCACCAACACATTCACTGAATGGCAGGAGCATTGCCTCATGGGACCTGTCGTTTTTTGAGACACTGAATAGCACCTTAAGAATTCCCTTCAACAGCGATATTTTTTTTTCCAAGCAGGGAAAACTCATCATTGGGGGTATAGCAACTTAGAACGTTCCCTTGCGATGATGAGTCTAGTTTTCATTGTAGATTATGTGAGTTTTTCAGCTTCATTGGTACTGCTCATGGGTTCATTTCCACACAGTTCCATACAGTCTCTTGTGTTAAGTGCATATAAAGCGCACAGGGTGAAGGTGGTTGTAGTCAGTTGTCACAGCTGTAACAGACATATAATGCAAGGCTTTATAACATTGTTTCCTGTTCACATTATTCACTGTTCAATTCTTCAGGAGGCGTTACTGGAAGAGTGAGAAAACCACTGGTTTCTTCAACAGGCAAATAACAGAATTATATATCCTATCAGTTTTCTCTCTCACACACACACACAAAACAATTCAAACAGCTTCACATGGTTTCTGCAATTCATGAGAAGGCCCAAATGAAATCTGCGATATATATATTTTTTAACATTTTAAGAAAAAGAAAATCGATAAAATTCTTCAGAATAGAAATGGTATTTAATAAATGAACACACAAGGTTTGGGGGTTCTTTGTAAATGTCAGATTCCTTGTGGGCCTGATCACGAATGAAACACAACTGGGTCTCATTCACTAAGAAATCGTGTGGATTATTTTGAATTTTTACGCACAAGAGAACTTCTCATGAAAAATGAATGCCTAATTCACTAAGTGCACACTCATGCGTCCACACAACCTCATTGTAATGTTAATGAATTTGGAATATTCTAAATGAGTGGCAGCCCAAGGTTAGTCATTTGCATAAGACACCAAAACTCCATATAAAAGCGTTTCAATCAAAACCAGTTCAAACTCAATAAACACTTTTAAGACATGCATATCTGTGTTGTTATACAGGGACACCTTGCAGCCCAAACTATAATGCAGTGTTTCAATGTATGATGAAATAGATGAGATGTCTATGAATAAAATTGAACCTTAACACAATTACAGTATAAGGCCATCCAGAGCATGTGATTTTTTGTGTATGTGTGGTTTAAGATGTTCCTAATTTCTCCCGCCATAAATTTTGAAGAAATTGTAGTATAATAAAGTTACTGGTTTTGTTTGTTAAAATATTTGCTCGCAGATTTCATACACAAACTCATGTGTGCGCAAGCTTAGTGAATGAGACCCACTGTCTTAAAACGTCTTTGTTGTCATAAACGCTTGCGTTGAAGACATATAGCAATGGGCTACATATACTGTATTTAAGTAAGCTTATTGTTGAATAGGGCTACATATTTACTTTTGCACTTTTGATGGAAAGAAAATGGGCTTTGCCATAAAGCTAACACAATAATAATAAAATTACAACCACATAATTGTAAAAACATTTGAATGAGTTCAGGCTGGTATTTGAAGGCCTCACTCTCTCTCAAACACATACATCCACACACACAAACGCGCACGCACACACACACACACACATTTTAGCTGAGGTACAGTGTGGTGTGGCATTAGCAGCCAAACTGTCCATGCTGTCCAGAGCGACATGCACACACACACACCCAGTTACTTAAATGTATTATTGTCATTGTCTCTTCCTTTGTTATTTTACATGACTATCACTGACTAACAGAGAGCCAACAAAACGTTTTTGTGTATGAGTGTTTGTCCAGGGGTCCAGTCAAAGAGTGCAGGACAGCACTCCAGTGGGCAGAGCTATCCCACACATAAGAGCAGCTGATCAGTGTCAAAGGTCAATATGACAGCACTTCCACAGTGGCTGAACATAAAGAGGCAAATCCAATGCGGGAAACCCATCTTGGCAGGGTCTTTGATTGACATAAATCAATCTCACTCATTTTTTGGAGTCCATTTCTCCTTGTTGTAGCATTTCATCCCTGTGCTCAGTCTCTCTGGAGTCTCTCGGGGGAGACGTTACTTGCGTGTGTGTAGCGCCTCCTGGAACTTTGTACTGGTGTAGTGGATGTGGAAGCCTTTCTTACTGATCGTGTCATCAGAGTGGAAATGGATCATCATGGCATCGCCAGCAGAGTAAAGCTCCTCACGAGGCTAAACATAGGACAGAGGGGTCAGTAGAAGAAATACAACAAGCTGTACAACATTAAGCTCATAGCACACACAGCTCATACCCCAGATCCACAAAAGCGTCCGAGTTTTTGCGCACCGGTGTCGTAGCCATCGTAAAGTTCGATGTAGTCATACCCGCAGTCGGCCTCCTCCTCTACCTCAAAGGTGGTGAAAGTAAGCTCGATGCCATAACCCGACTCTGCCGTTATGAGCCACTCGCAGTCGGTGTGGCCGGGGTAGTTATTATCCCCAAACTGAGCATGAGAATACAGGTTCTTCTGACGCACCTCTGCTTTCAACCTCCCACCACACTCTACACACAAACACACACATATATACTGTTAATAATGATCATCATTGATTTTATAATGGTTCACTTCCACTAATGTTATTATACTAATGTCATAATGTTGTGTCTTTTCTCTTTTCTGTTGACTGTAATAAGTCAAGTCAAATGATAAAAGGCAACACTTCAGGACTCTAATACAACATGTAATGCTGGATTAATACACTAGAGGGCTCTGTTAAACTCTAAACATGAAATGAGAATTGTTTCTATGAACACTTGAATCACATCTGATCCAAGTGCTCTACATGCAAATAATCAATATTAATTACCAGTGGAGTGAGTGGCCTGAAAGCCTTTCCGCTGCACTGAGGCGTCAGAGGTGAATCGCAGGTACATCTTGTTGCCCGTGGAGATGAGCGGTTCTGGAATCTTGCTGCCGCACAGACGGCTCAGGATGGGCGTCTTGTCCGAGTCACCGTCAAAGGCCTCCAGGTGATCATACGCACATTCCTGGTGCTGCTCTATCTCAAACTCATTAAAAGACTAGAAACAGAAGGAGACAACACAGGAAAAAATGAAGTCAGACATTTGTAATTCTAACCGAGTAACAGTAATAAAAGGTTTATTTTCCTCAGCTAAAAGTTTAACACATTTGGTAAAAGCAGATCAAATTTTTGGGCTGTGACAACCCAATTGTTTATAGAGGGGTGCAGGGATGACATCTAAACCTCACCCCCTTGTTCCCTTGAGATTTTCCCATGGGACCATGCGATTTACATTGTTACAAATATTTATATTTCAATTAAAATGCTTTTCATTTTTCTAGTAATTAAAGAAATTTCTTTTTTTTTTTTTTTACATTGATAAATGTTTTTGAGATTATTAGAATCATGTTTGAAGGATCATGTGACACTGAAGACTTGAGTAATGGCTGCTAGAAATTGAGCTTTGACATCACATGAATAGATTTTGTTTGAAAATATTTCAAAATAGAGAAAACCACTATTTTAAGTTGTTAAAATATTTCACACTATTAATGTTTTACAGTAATTGTAATCTAATAAATGCAGACTTAGTAACCATACTTCTTTCAGCCAAATATTTAATAAACAGATATACAAGGGGCGGATATATGAATGATGGGTGTTTCAATTCTACATCTGCAGAGCTTTCTGTAAGTGTAGGTTATTTATCGGGCTACATGGAATATTGTTGCTTGAGGGTGTTTCCTAGATTATTAAAATTATTTAAAAAATATATATATAAAAAAATTAAAACTGGGTTATGTGTTGAACCATCCACAAATCCCTGAACCATTGCATGAGATTGAATTACATGTTTTAAAATCATTGTACCTTTTGTGCTCACATTAGCATTACGTAAAAAGCCAGCTGTTGCCGCTACACACAGAGACAGCAATGAAAGCAAAGCCGTGGTGATAAAGTTACTCTACAAATTTATTTTGACAACTTCAAACGTTAATGTCGAAGTGATATATTAATTCTAATGGACCCTAAAACGATCAATCTCCAAAAACACTTGTACCTCATCCTTTTTGTTACTTCAGTTTAGGTCTAATGTCGAAATGATATATTAATTCTAATGGACCCTAAAACAAACAATCTACAAAAACACTTGTACCTCATCCTTTTTATGACTTCAGTTTAGGTCTTAGAAGCAAAAGACTTAGTCCGATCTAGACAGCAGTGGGAGACACTGAGCTCATTCTTTAAACCCCTGCCATAGTGGTCTGCTAACATATTTGCTTTCACACACTAGTATGTTAAAATCCTAACTCATTTGAACTGCTCAAGCCTTACTATTACAAATTATTAGATATCTTGGGTAACTTTATCTTGTGCTTATTTGTGAGAGCGTGTTTATGTCTACGTGTTGGGGCAGAGAGGTAATTGCATTGCCACGTGTTTGAGGAGATTATACATGTGTGCATTTTAATGTTAGTATGTGTGAGTGGGAATGTGAGATTGTCTTTAAAAGTGAGAGGACCACAATGGAATCACAATTATGTTTGTGTCTCTGCTCAGGTCAATGATCTCTGAGTGTAATGGTTGAGGAGATGCTTCTTTATAAATGTAAAGGTGTGTTTAACAGAAGCAAACATATAGTATTACAGATGTATTATAAAAACTCACAATTTTGACCCGGTGGCCAGGTGTGGAGGTGATGTCCCACGTGCACTCTTTTCTGCTGGGGTACTTGTCAGGCCAGTTGGGACTGCTGATGGTTCCACTCGTGCTGTGGATCTTATGCTCACACTCAGCTGATAAACAAGTATGGGGTAAAGAGGGTAAAGATCATTAGAAACAGTAATGAAGCACAATAATAACATGTGAGTAATAAAGTTTAGATAACGATGATCCATATGTACTTCCAGCCAGAATTTTGAGGGAAAATCTTTGGAATGGATTTAAATAAACCTTTCTTTGAAGCATTTTGCTACATCATTTTAGTGTCAAAACCCACAATATTTAGCAGCAGCAGCCGTACCCTTTTCACATTTCCGGGGTTCTCATTGTTGGGTGAACGGAAACTAAAATAAATATATTTTGCATTCTCTTTGGCTCCAAAAAATAATGAAATTTCCATGATAGTATTTCTATGACTTTCAAAAAGAGGAAAAAATATAATGGTCAGAAGAAAGAAAGAAAAATGTATAACACAAATATAACACAAAGTAGTTATAAATGTATAGTATTTTTAAAAATAAAAAACTGCTACATTTATGATGTTAGTAGAAGTAAACAAAGGTCGACAAAACACTCTTGTCGCATAACAGTTAACAAAAAGCGATACAATTCTCATTTATGTGACTTCACTTGCTTTTTGAGAGAGGTTTGACATCACTTTTCTCCAAATGAAGAGTAGCAACTCAAACTTTGAACTTTGCCCTGGTTGTGAGGTGTGCACATCCTAGAAAGACTATTACAGAATGCTTAACCTTTAGTATGTTTACCTGAACTCATAGGTTCACCTGAGACTCACCTTTCTAATAAGCATGAGCAAATCTCTCTTACAGGAGACTAGCACAAGATCTTCTTTAACCTATCCTCAATCATCCTCACAAGAAAATATTCAAAATATTCCTTGGCAATACGTGTCTGTGAGTGTGCTTATGTGTGTGCACAAGGTCAATTGATTACAGCTAGATCCACGCCGTCAGTTAACCTGCTGCGATCTTGAGAAACCAGATCAGAAAAACATTTTCACCAAAAACCCTGCAGAGTGTGTACAGTATATGTGTGTGTTGGAGTGGGCGTTATATTGTATGAATGAATGAGAACAATCCGACCTGCTGTGGCTTTCTTTATTCAAATAAGAGTAGGGGCCGGAAGTTTGACACATTATGTAGATTGTGAAAAGTTAAATTGATGAATGTGCATGAATATATATGATTGAGCAGATTCAGCTGTCTATGCTGATCGCACTGTACTTTTTATTTTAAGTCTTTTGCCTTTTTTTCACTCATATTTAGCTTAATGTATACTGTTCTTTTAATTTATTTATTCTTTTCTGTTTTTTTTATTTAACCTTTTTTATCACCATTTTTCATAAATATTTTAGATTTTTATGTAAAGCACTTTGTGTATGAAATATTACTATATAAAATGAATCTGCATTGCCTTATGTCTCCCTTCTGCTTTAGTGACAGAATCACTTGAGCTGCATGAACTTTACAAATCATCTTATCAGGCATGATTTGAGAATGTCCCAGCTGATAATTTGACCTTTTTTGCAAAGTTGTTCACATGGTCAGTCACACAAAAATGCTTATTGGAAGATGTTCTGCACTTTATATCATTTTTTCTTTCTAATCTAATGTGGCATTAGACTTTTGGACCCCACTGTATCATCGACAGTATTACCACTATCACACTACACACACACACACAGACACACACGCACTAATCTGGATAAGCCTCTATTATTCCCTCTGATAATCAGGTCAGTGTGCGTTAGTTAAAGGTATTTTCAGTATTTTGTCTCTGGTGTTCACACTCTCACATGAACACGCGTGCACACACAGGTTTGTACGTTTGTTTGAATGTGTCTACATAAAGTGACTTGTGATTCTAGGTCAAACTGTGTTGAAGTGTGTTGAAGTGTGTTATATCATTCCATAGGCTATCTATGTTTTGCGCTCTCTCTACACATGACAAAATAATTAATTTTACAGTACCATAATTAAAGGCACAATATACCAGACAGCCCTCTTGACTTTGTTATAATGACATTCTTGAGTAAATAGTAATATATAAGTAATACTTGTATAAGCAACTAGTAAAGCTGGTCTAGTGTTGCTACTGAATACTGATACACACATACATGCACATGCACAAAGGAAAATGAAAACAGAAGCAGGATTATGACTTTGAAGCTTTGTGAAACTCCAGATGTTTAAAATTAGAGTCAGTGATCTAGCCTTGAAGAGACAATAAAGACTGTGTGTGTGTGTGTGTGTGTGTGTGTGTGCGTGTGTGTATTCCAGGATGCCGCTGGTTTAACTTCTTGACCCTGACTCTGGAGCTTAAAGGGTAATATCTCTATCCTCCTCTCTTCAGGTCGAACTGTTTTTCTTTTCAAAGAGAAACACACACACACACTGCTTTAAACTTTCCAAAGCCCACAAAAATGTTAAAAGGCCTGCAGGGCAGAGCTGCACTGGAGGTTGACAGTGCTTGTATAAAAGGCAAGGTTTAGTGGGAGACAGTGTTTGACTATAACAGACCATCTAAATGCTTCAACATGTGTTGAAGATCTGGAGGACAACTGTTTCAGTTTACTTTAATGCTTTAAATTCAGTCACCTCCTTTTTGTACTTATAATGCAGCTCTAACTATTAATAGCACATTTGTTCTTTCATTTACACTACTTTATTAGTTTTATTAGAAGTTTTGTCTGTTATCATTTTATCTGACCTCACTCTCACTGTATAAACAGGGTAGTTTTTCCTATTTGTTGCCACTCTGTTCGAAATCTGCAATTGCAATTATTTGCGGAATTATCAACTTTACGTGGGTTGTGCCTCGGCACGGCGCGGATGAAATTCAATGTTTTGAGGAGACTGTGAAGGTGTCAGTCACCGCGCTGGTGAGGATACTGGCATTCGGAATCACAGATTATTCTTTCTGGAAGTATGACCAAAATAACCAAGGGAAAAAAGCATTGCAGCAAATCGCGCAGATTAAATCTAACGATTGCATCAAACGGTGCAAATTATACTTTGTTCTCAAATTATTAATGTTCTTAACAACATCAGCATTGCGTGACTACATTTAATGCCCTTCTTATCCTTGTTTTCGCATTGGCCCGGTTGCAGTCTCTTTTTTACTGTATCCACTGCGAAGTCTTTTGCATTTTACAGCGGGTGAATCTGTTGTCACTGGTAATTGTCGTTTGAACCTTTCTGGATCTGCCATCAAATTTATAAGTTTAATTATATAAAGTGCTGTGAGAAAAGGCTATAAATCTCCAGCTACAACATCTTCACACGCAATATAGCCTACTAGCCGAGACAAACATAAAAAAATAAAATAAACGGGCAGAAAACCAGCACGAAAATGATTTAGGGACTGTTTGTTTTTCATTTAAGGGTCTAACGGAGGAGTTTTGAGATCTATAGTCAAAATACACTTCACCAGCACTTCACCAGCGATTCAGAAAAAAGGCATGACCCTCCCTGATAATTTGATTACTTCTGTACTGGTTTGCGCTTGGCAAAGATGTTCAGATATCTCTATACCCAGAAGACCTACACCAAACGTTCATTAAAAAGGGTCCTGTACAGGGCTGGACAGTGCGACATATATTTACGAAAAGATTGGTCTGTGCGATGAATAAATGTACCACTGTAGCAAGCGTGCGATCCAGCTTTGTAAACTTGTGTTTGTTTTCAGACATGATAGCAGTCGTTTTATAGACTTCTGCTTGTGCAATATCACGATTTTTTTTTTTGAAGAATTTTTTTTTTTTTTGAAGAAATATGCTAGTATCGCGCTACAGCGCACATTTCTATCAGCTGCAGTTCAGGCACCTCAAGCCTGGTTTATAAGTTTTTTGTATTTGTGCATATTTTTGTAACCGTGCGCACGGCTCCGCATTTTTGTTTGGTCAGACCCATCTGCTAGCGATGGGGTCTGAGACTGAGAAAGCTACATGGAGCTATATGGAAAAATATGCACCAAAAAAGCCACTTTGATATGTTTCATGAATACAAAAGTTGGGTGACCCTACCCCTAGGCTAAAAAAAGTTGAATGACCCTCCCCCCAAAGAATAAAAAGACACAACCCTCCCCTATTTTCCTCCGGTGGTCCATTCCATAAATACCGAACGGTCTCTTACTCCGCATCTTAAATGCTGAGTTTTTTTTTTCCTTGTTTGTGGGTTTTTGCTCATCTTCAGCAGAATGGAGTATAAACCAACATGCTTACACATGCTAGATGTGCCACTGCCAGATGACTACCCTCACTTATCCTCTTCTAGCCATTATTATTCTTTTGCGAGTGCCCGTACATACCTTCCTTGCAGTCGTGTTTGTTCTCATGCAGAATAAAGCCGTTGCGGCACTGGCACACATAGCTGCCAATAGTGTTGATACACTCATGCTGGCATCCACCGTTATCCTTTGAACATTCATCTTTATCTGTAACAGAAAAAGAAGAGTGACGAACCGTTAGATCCAACAAGATCCTTTTGATTTCTCATCTTATTTTTTCAGGACAAAAATCTAATCAGGATTTAGATTTTTCTTTAAAGAGTAATTGCATTGAGTGATGAATATTAAATAAGTGTCTATATTAGTTGGAAAATCTTGGACAAAAATTACAGGAAGAAAACTAAATAATGGGTAAATTCACAGTAATGTCACTTTCATCTGTGATATTTAAATACAGAAATCAGCATCTTATTCGCTAACCACCCAAAATCAATTTAACCACATGCTAAATGCACTGAAAACAAGGCAGCACCATTAAATTAAGCCACTGGCATTTCTAGCACAAACACCCCTTCATTATATTTAAATTATGCTCATTATAAATGCATACATTATAGAAGTACAATTTTCTGATTTGGATAATTGCTTTAATTAACTGGACACAAAAAAATAACAACTCTCTTGCAAATAAACTAATATAAAATTGTGCACAAATGCCCACTTTAAAACAGAGAAGACAGGAGAGAATCATAGTGTATGTTGTTGAGGAAGTGCGAAGCGAAAACTGATGGCATGTTTAGTCTGTGTATCTGAGGTGTAAACTAAATGAGTCACTTAAAGGGTTAGTTCATCCAAAAATAAAACAATTCTGTCATTAATTCCTCACCCTCATGTGATTATAACCCGTAAGACTTTCGCTCATCTTTGGAACACAAGTGAAGATCTTTTTAATGAAATCTGAGAGATTTCTGACCAATTTGACTCTTCAAAAAAATCCATTAAAAGATTGTAAAATGAATCCATAGAAATTGAGCGGTTTGGTCCAAATTTTCTGAAGAGACATGATTGATTAAGATTCCTTTTACGATCTCTTTACAAACATTTTAAAGCGACAAAGTGGCAGTTGCTTAGCTGTCAATGGAAGGACAGAAATCTCTCAGATTTCCTTTAAAATATCTTAATTTGTGTATCAAACATCAAATAAAGTCTTATGGGTTTGGAATGACATAAGGATGAGTAATTTGTGCATTTTTTTATTTTGTTTTTGGGTCAATGATTCCTTATGTTTTTTTTTCCACCCATTGTGCATCTATAAGCCGCAGCGTCCCATGAGTCAAAAGCTGTTATTTTCATGAAAGTCTCAGTTTAGCTAATTATCACACTTCAACCACTGCTCAAAACCACCAGCATAATCATCAAACCCAACGCATAACAGATGGAGAGAGAGCTAAAGAGACCCAAGCCTTTGTGGGTCACCACACATTTTTCATAATTAATGCTGTTTTCAAGCATGTATTTTGTCTTGAACAATGTCCTGTTGTTTTATTGTGCAAAGTGAGCATAGTTCTCTTTCTGGAAAAAATATTCTTATTTTTCCTATGAAATTAATACTTAATCATAAAATGCCACAGCGGAAGAGATAAGAGTGTGTTGTACGTGTCGTACAACAATAAAAAAATAAAAATTTACAGGTCAAGCGTATCAGAATCTTGCTTTCTTTCCTGTGCATATACATGAAATGAATCCCCTCTTTCACTGTTTCCAGTTCGGCGCTCTCTTTCGGCTCAGTACACACTCACACAGATCAGGAGCATGAGGGAGAGCTCTGGGGACCTCCCTAAGTCTGACGGCACTGGGCCAGCAAAAATCCAACCTCAGGGACTTCCAGACAATGAGAATGATGCTATTATAACTCATTGAGAATTGAGATTATTCTCTCTCCCACTCACACACATTACATCCCGGTATACAGTGGGACTCATTTACCATGTGTTTGTCCCAAACAGTCATATGTGCATTCCATTTATACAGTACAATTCCACCAAGAAGAGTCAGATGACTCATGAAGTGGCAGACCCTGCTAATACTTCAGCTTAAAGTAATAAGCTGTGTATTTTTTTTAAAACATGAAAACTAGCCAGACAGAAAAATGTATATTTCTTATGCATTCGGGTTTATTAGATTGTCTGGGTTTCAGAAAAGGTAGTATGGTTGGAAGTAGACATGAGGGCAAAACGAATAAAATCCCTTAACTATACATAGAATATAATATTAATCCTAATAAAAAGTAAATAATAAACAAATAATTCATGTCAAAAATATGGGTTGATTTGAAAAAGGAGGGACACACATTAAACTGGGGGTCTTTGACAACAATAAGAAACTACACTTTTTAAATTTTAATGTTGCTATGCCCAACAAAGATGGATCTAGTTTGTTTATCTGGTTCATCTTCTTGAATTAGAAAATGTATCTTTCTCTTTGTAACTTTGCCAACCAATTCGAGTCCTTTCATATCTTCTAGTTCTCATGGGTGTGAGATTATGAAATAATAATAAAAACAGGGATTCGCTGCATGGGGGAGGAAATGAACACAGCTGATATTCCTGTTTCACGAAGCTGACTGAACTATTCCTCTATTATCAGCAGATATTAAAAGTATATTTGTACACAAACTCACATCTCATTTTTTTCCTGCACAGTCCATAATTACTGTCATTTATAATTAGTTTGTGAGCTCTAGTCAGACAAACTGAATCATGTTAATAGCACAAATGGTTGCAAATAACATTTAACCATTTGTAAAAAGTTGCACTATCATCTTATGCGTATTGCATGAGCAAGCATGTTCAACAAATGCTGCTGACCCAAAAGGCTGGGACATTTGTTGCCATAGAGACAGAGCCCAGTGACCAATAACATCAATGGATTCTTAAAGGCACCTCAGACATGAGGGCAAATCCATTCCCAATCAAGGGAGAGAAGGCTGTACCTGAAACATGCCTTGACATGACCTGCTGGCCAATCATATCTGGCACGTCATTATCAACGTCCTGGCAGGACAAAAATATAAAGAGTCTCTCTTTGCAGCGAGCAGGCCTGTCTGTGGAAAAGAATGCCCTGATTCACACACATTTGAAGTTTTCATTTTACAAATTACATTGTCAGCGCACATTAAAATGTCTAAGATTACGGACATTTCCAGATGTTACTTACTCCAAATCATCTACATTTCAAGTGGCAATCAAACATCCAAACAGGTCACAAACACAATTATGCTAAAGTCAAGGTTTCAGTGTTTGGATTAAAACTTTTGTACAGTCTGATCCAACAATGAAAGTTTCAAACCAAACCCACAGAACTTCTCACGATACAGTCGCATGAGAGAGAGGGCCTTTCAAAAGCTTTATGAAATTCATATATACAAGCGAGCTTGGAAGGAGGTGTCAAAACATAGCTAAGACTTTCAAATCTCAATTTCAAATGAAAAGCGCAGGCATGGTGGTCTTACCGGAGAAGAAATGAGCTTTGAAGCCTTTCTTGGACACTGTGTTGTCTGATTTGAACTCGATTCGCATGTTGTTGTACTGGGAGGTGATGACCTCTGGAACCTCTGTTCCGCAGTATTTCCCATGAAGCTTCGAGTCAGATGACAAGCCGCTCCGCACCTCAACATAGTCATACTTACACACCTGCACATATAAAATAGAGAAATAATACACAGATAAACATCCATCTTTCTTTCTACCTACATAAAACAATACGCACTCTGCCACACTGGCACACACACACATAGTCTCTCACCTCATTTCCCTCAAGTTCAAAGGCTTCAAACTGCATGGATATGCGGTACTGAGTGGGGGCAACCACTTGCCACACACAGTTCTTATTGGGAGGATATTCCTTAGGCCAACCTGGGGTGGTGATTGTGCCGTTCAACTTAGTCAGCAAGCCACCACATGCAGCTGAAAGAGGAAAAAGAATGAGAACAAAGTTTTAAAAATACAAAAGTGAAATATCGTGTCTTCAGTTCTCTTGCAGTAAACAAACTAATAAGCATTTAATTAAATATAAACTATAGTAAAAGTCTTTGATGGTTTTTGTGTTATTTTAGTGTTGTTGCCACAACACTTTTTAATGACCGAATCATGTGGTTTCTGAGCAGAGTGAGTGTAGCCAAATTGCTGTTTGTTCTTGTTGTTTTCCTGTTGACAACGGATGTTTTCCTGAACTGAGCGTGTTTGAGTCAAGCAGACGGAAGCACCTGTGTGCAGTGCGTGGACACACAAACACACACTTTCTTACCTTCACAGCTCTTCTTGTCAGGGGCCAGTTCGTATCCAGGATCACAGGCACATTTGAAGCTTCCTAATGTGTTAACACATCTCTGTTCACAGCCACCATTATCTGTCTTCAGACACTCGTCTTCCTCTGTTTTAATGACACACACGCAGTGACATCAGTTGAATGGACAATCAGCTTTTTTGTACATGTCTGTTTTGTACTGTGTGTGTACCTTTGAAGAAGTTTGCAGCAAAGCCTGCTTTATTTACAGTCCCATCAGAGACAAATTTCATCCAGAGGGTGTTGGAGGTGGAACGGATATCTTCAGGTTTATCGTAGCCGCAGAATCGACCAATCAGAGGGCTGTTCTCAGACAAACCGTCTCTAACCTCAAGATAGTCATATGCACAGCTGTCATGTCGCTCGATCTGCACAAACACAGGGGCAATACAGTATGTGTTAAAGGTGACATATAATGAAAATCTGCTTAAGTGCTCTAATTGGGTCCCCTGTGCATCTACCAATAAGAAAACATGAAAAGTGACAACCCAGTAACTTTGTTTTGGTAAGCCTTTCCAAAAAAATAAGCAGATCAGTTTTCACTCCCCTTTTAACTTAGGAAGAGGATCTTATCATAATATTACCGCCTCTTAATCTCCACGTTTCCACCCATGGAGCTGCCAACAACAGGGTAACCAGCAAAAGTTCGAGCAAAGGATGCAAAATGTTCTGTCGTTGGCTGCACAGATGAGCACAGAACACTATGAGACAAGCCTCAGATGAGACAAGAGAGCAGTGGATTCATTTAATTTCAACAGAAATCCCTCAGAAACAGATGAATCAATGTAACTCCACAACAACTACATAAATGTATCCACTAACCATTCACTAATGTCCAGGTGCGTCTAAAAGTTGCAACCTCTACCTGAGTCTCTCTGTAAGGCTGCACTCCGCTACTGGTTATTTCTGAGATTTTGAATGAGTGAAATTTGTGAGTTTTGATATTGATTGTATCCGAAGCTCTTGTAAAGGATCGGTCGTCTTCTGAATGGGGGAGCCGCAAGTCAACTTTGACAAGCTATAATGAATAATCTGGGGGGTATTTTGAGCTGAAATTTCACAGACACATTCTGGATATACCATTGATTGTATTACATCTTGTGAAAGGGGGCATAATATGTCACTTTTAATGGCATTAGAGTTTATATAGCACCTTACAGTAGGTGTCAGTGCCTAGAAAACCAATCCAATCCAATAAAAACAGGATCTCAGGCGTCTATGTGTATATGCTATGCCAGGCTCTCAGGTCTTGTACACGTCCTGCTCTTTATACATAGACTGTATACGTGCAAAAGAAAGTGTGAATGTCTGTATGTAAAGGGAGAGAGTGTGTTTTCGTTTCCTCTGAACAATTCAACACCATTGACCTACTGACACACACAATGGTGCGCATACATACTTATGACTTGTAACAACATTGACATTTTAATCTAAATAATCAAACATGCCTGTCTTTTGGCCTCACACATCTTACAGGAAAATCACCTTTTTGTGTGTACAGTATATGATAAGCATAAACTAAACAGCCCACATGTCTCTCCTCTTTTCATCTCCTTCTCAGAATGAAAAGACAAAGGAAAAGGAGAAGAATGAAAGAGGAATGCTAAAGTGAAAATAGTACTTAACTGGAAATACATAAACAGAAAACAGCCAAAAAAGAGGAGACAACAACCTCACCTCAAAGACTTGAAAGCTCAAGCCCACGCTGTAGCCCTCGGACACTGTGATCCTCCACACACATTCCTTAGATGGACGGTAGTCATCTGGATAGTTTGGAGACTGAATCTGTCCAGAGTCCTTACTGATCTCCCCTCCGCATATTGCTACCGGACACAAAAACAGATTGGGAAAATAATATTTTAAATTTGTTTATTCATCAGAAATATTTAAGCCATTTTCACTGTCTAAACAATATTATTTATTCAAATAATATTTTAATATTATTTATTTAAACAGTTTGCAATGATATTTCTTAAAATATTTTGGCTAATGTTATACTATTTTTTCAATGTTATTTTTTGTAATACTAGTTTTAAAAAGATACAAAGTTGAAGTTGATGTCATTTGAATTATTAAAATGTTTTTATATTTATATATTTAAGAAATCAGCTACAAGGAATCTATTTGCAGGTTGATTTGACCAATGGAAGATTGCAGATACCCATGGAAGTATTTTGGAAATACGTTTGAAAGCAGGCATTTGTTTTACAATCCTGTTTTTTTTTTGTTAAGACTGTAAAGACTTTAAATGTACATTGCAATGAACAAGAAATGGCTTCATAATAATTCACACTCACAAGGTATGTCACAATATCGTCCCCTTGGAATTATAAGGTTCTATCTGACATTTTTGTCAAAATTGAGTTATTCACATATTCTTATTCTGTGACAATTTATTTACATTATGTGATGTGTTTTGTACATTTAGGGTCCCTGTTATTTTTATGTTTGAAAGAAACTTGTTCCCCATACACATTTTCCTATATGGAATGCAAAAACTTTGAAGCTCAATATCTCAAAACTGTTCAGAACGCAGATAGAACCTTATAATTCCAAGGGGACGATATACCATGTTGATGATAACCTTAATAAATGTAAAAAAAAGATATACTAAAATAATATTAATACTATACATATGATAATATCATAAGAAATCCAGCACAATTTGGTTGACACTGTCCATCCTAATAGTTGACAGCTTTTTTATTGCACATTAATGCTGGTTTACACCCACTATACAACAGAACATAGAGACAGAAGATGTTTATGGATTCCGTAAAAAAGAACATGTATTACACAAGATAAGTCTGCAGCCAATCAACAGTAAGTTCTTTTGTACAAAATTGTACAGTTGTGCTTACAAAATGTCTCTCTGCCTGCCTACACTTGTTTTTTTAGTGTGATTTAGTAGCCAAAAAAAGAAAACACAAAAACTATAATATTTTTTTATCACAAATTCTTTAGGACAAAATAACTGTGTAGAGAAAATCTGATACCATGACAGCCCTAACACACACACACACAAACACACCTTCGTAGACTGCTGCAAATCCCTTTCCAACCCAATTGCTGCTACTGCGGAACTCAATCCACATCCGACTGTCTGTGGAGACCAAAACTTCTGGAATTTTATCACCACAGAAACGGCCTGCACAGATACACATACACATTAAGACATAGGTAATAGTTCCCTCATAAGCACCCATTGGTGATTCACATGATTGCTTAATAAATTCCAGATTATTCCTGGGTCCACAAGTATAAAGTATGTATATACCCAGCAATGGCGCTTTCCTCCAGTATCCATCACGAACCTCTATGTAGTCGTACCAGCACAGGCTGCTCTTGTAGAGGTCCATAGTGGTGAAGTTTAACACTATCTGAAATGGGCAGCACACATACGTCAAACTTCACACACTGGATCAAAGTTCTCTATCTACAACCTCATAGTGAAGACAATCACAGGGGGAAAAAAGGAAGAAAAATCACAGATACAGATGACTGTGGAACAGTTCAGTGTAATGAACCTTTGTAAAGTCACACACTTCACACACAGAGGTGTCTTACCTTTTCCCCAGGTGTGACGGAGATCCTCCATACACAGTGTGTATATGACGGGTACCCATTAGGATATCCTGGAGATGATAAATTCCCCACTGAGTCCTGTAGAGTTTCACCACACGCTGGAAAGAGACCAACACAACAACATGATTAATGAGTGTACATACAGGAAAACGGATTTGCATAACATTTCAGTATTTGAAAATTTCCACTTATTATAAAAAAAAACTTGAATGCATAACTTTAATTAGACGTTAGCTCTGAAAGATTCAGTGAATAATTCATTAGATGGTTTCAAACTGATTATTGAGTCTTTTTGACCAATTAATTAACAGAACCGACTCAAATAATTCACTCATTAATCAGACTACCCTGGATGTTTATTTGTTTGTATGTTTTTTTCAGACAACACAATAGAAAGATGTTCACAACTGTAGCACTGTAGCATTGTACATTCAGTAGTGGCCTAGTACCACGGCTAAATAGCAGTGCAGGAAACAGATACACACACACAATGAAGTAACAAAGACCTATTGACTGTTCTAATGAGATCTCAGGAGCCAAACAGTGCTGGATAGGGATGCAGATTCCCTGTTCAAGAGAAGCCAAATCTTCTGCTAATATTTGCCAAATGTTCCTCCCAATTAGCGATGTAGGGGTTGGCGAAAGATTTGTCTGAAAGGCCTCTGTTTTTCATCACAGCTCATTTGACAGTGACTGCATATGTAGGTGCTTTTGGGTGTCAATTTCAAGGAAATATAAAGATGTAGTCACAAGTCAGAGAACAATCCAGTGCATAGTCACACATTAGATAAGCTGTTATCTTTGGCTTGGGTGGAGACAGTCACCCCTATTTCAGACTAAACTTTGACTGATAACATGTAACAGCAGAGCAACGTTGGAGTTACAACAATAGTTTTCAAAACTTTAATCGCGATTAAACATACACAATTTAACTTGTTTAACATGTTCATTTTGTCATTTTGTGCTCTATCCAACAAAGTAAACCATCAGATTTAAGGGTGATTCTCAAAAAAACAAATATTTTCTGCAGGCTTTTTTTTTTTAGGTAAATTTAGGTCACACTTGAAGACACTAAATAACCAAATCATATAAGGAGTCTATATAATTCATAAATTAAAGCGCCCATAAAAAAAAAAAAAAAAAAACATTACAGAAAAAACACATGAGTTCTAAAAAGTTTAATCTTTGTCCAATATCTGCGCTATTTTTCTCCAGAAGTTATGACCCCTTCACACAAGATAATCCCTTCACACAAGCCCTTGTTAATGTGGGTGTCTGTTGGTGTTGCAGGCTATGGTATTGTGTTGTTGTTTTTGTTGTTTCTTTACATAGCTCTGTTTTGGATTGATTGTTTGATTGAGTTGGTTTACTGGATCATTTGACTGAAAACTTTCTATGAGTGTAGCGGCTTAAAATATGGAAGCTTGTTTCCACCATAGAATGAAAAATATAAAAGGTAATTGCGACTTTTTATCTCAAAATTCTGACTGCGAGTTTACTTCTCGCAATTCTGACATTATTTCTCAGAATTGTGAGATATAAAGTCAGAATTGCCAGATATAAAGTCAGAATTGCGTGATATAAAGTCAGAAGTGCGAGATATAAAATCAGAATTGCGTGATATAAAGTCACAATTGAGAGATATAAAGTCAAAATTGCGTGATATAAAGTCGGAATTGCGATTTATAAAGTCAGAATTGTGAAATATAAAGTCAGAATTGCTAGATACAAAGTCGCAATTGTGTGTTTTAAAGTCAGAAATGCATAATATAAAGTCAGAATGGCGTGATATAAAGTCAGAATTGTGAGATATAAAGTCAGAATTGCGTGATATAAAGTCGCAATTGCGAGATATAAAGTTAGAATTGCGTAATATAAAGTTGGAATTGCGAGGTATAAAGTCAGAATTGTGAAATATAAAGTCAGAATTGCTAGATACAAAGTCGCAATTGTGTGTTATAAAGTCAGAAATGCATGATATAAAGTCGGAATTGCGAGATATAAAGTCAGAATTGCGAGATATAAAGTCAGAATTGCGAGTTATAAAGTCAGAATTGCGAGTTATAAAGTCAGAATTGTGAGATATAAAGTCAGAATTGTGAGATATAAAGTCAGAGTTGCGTGATATAAAGTCGGAATTGCGAGTTATAAAGTCAGAATTGTGAAATATAAAGCCAGAATTGCTAGATACAAAGTCGCAATTGTGTGTTATAAAGTCAGAAATGCATGATATAAAGTCAGAATTGTGAGATTTAAACTATTCTGAGGGGTAAAAAAGTTAGTTTTTTCCCCCTTAGAATTGGCCTGATAAGTCGCAATTGCGAGTTTATATCTCACAATTCTGAGAAAAGATGTCAGAATTTCGACATATAAACTCGCAATTATGTTATAAAGTCAGAATTGCGAGATGTAAACTCGCAATTGTGAGAAAAAAAAGTAAGAATTGTGAGATAAAAAGTCGCACTTATGTATTTTTTTCTCAGAATTGCGACTTTACATTACGCAATTCTGACTTTTTTTCTCACAATTGCAAGTTTATATCTCGCAATCTGACTTTATATCTCGGAATTCTGACTTTATATCACGAAATTCTGACTTTATATCTCGCAATTTTGACTTTATAACACCCAATTCTGACTTTATACAGGTGCTTGCCGCCATTGTAGATGCTCAGTGTGATAATCTCCCGACTTATAAGATCATCTAACTGCATGATGTAAACTATGTTAATGTTGCAATTTCATGTGCTTCAGTAATTTTTTCACATTTCTTTGCATTTAATCATTTTAACACGTTAAGGATTTCAAATGAACATTTATTATGCTTTTTGTCCTTCACATATCTTGTTTAAAAAAACTGCTCATTCAGGGAAATTGTAAAATGAAAGTGGGCATTCAGTTCACAAATTTCACAGACAGTTAACATAGTGGAAGGGAGAGAGCTTTGTCTTTGTATGTAAGTAGGCCATGAATCACACATTTACACACACCCTCACTAGCGCATGAACTCAAAAACAATACAGCAGTAAAGTAACACACTCATAAGCCACTCACATACAGTAGATACACACAGACACACACACACAAACACACAAACACACACACACACACACACACACACAGGCAGTAGAGCGAGAGGATCCAATACCCTTTGTCCCTGAAATGTCAGGGTGGCCCTCTCCTCTTTTCTGAGCAAAAAAGCTAACCCATCCATTCAACAAACCACTTTTCCCAAGTAGAGTTGCCATTTTATGTCTCCAGTTCACCTATACTGCATGTCTTTATATCGGAGCACCCGGGGAAACCCATGCCAACATGAGGAGAACATGCAAACTCCACATAGAAAGGCCAACTAGTTCAGCTTCTTGCTGTGAGGCATTTGTGCTACCCAATGAGTAGTGTTGGCTGTTGGGTAAGTTACTTTAAAAAGTAATTAGTTATAGTTACTAGTTACTTCTCACAAAAAGTGACTGAGTTAGTAACTAAGTTACATCATTACAAAAGTAACTAATAACCAGGGAAAGTAACTATTTACTTTTACTTTTTACTTGCGTTAAATAGTTAAAAAAAAAAAAAAAAAAAAAAAAAACGGGTTCACAACCGGTCATACAAAGATGTTTTCGTGGAATGTTCCCTGCAGGTTAAGGCCCTGTTTACACGAGAACGCTCGCGGGTGAAAACGTAAAAATATTTTATCGGATTTGCCTTTCGTTTACACGGCGACGGCGTTTTTGAGGCTTAAAAACGCAAAAAAGTGAAACCACCCTCCAGAGTGGAAATCTTAAAAACGCTCCACCGCCGCATTCCTGTGTAAACGGTAAAAACGCAAAAGTCTGCTTGACAGTGAAGGTTGTACGCAGGCGCGTGGACTTGATGTTGTTGTAGTATGCACTCCTAGCTGCCTGGAGTGCAAACTACATTAAATTTCACACACTTTTGCGTCACCATTTGCACGCGGATTTCCCACACAAAACGCTCGTCTAAACGCAGAATAAAAAGTGATGTCGCAATGCCACTTTTGCGTTTTCTCTTCAGAATCGTTTCTGTGTAAACATAGCCTAAATTGGAGTTTTATTTTATAACCATATAAACTAATTAACGTTGCAGATGATACCAATCTGCTAGAGAGATTATTCTAATGCTGAAATGTGTAATTTATTTATAAACAAACTATATTATGCTCAGACACATTCGGTCTCTCTCTCACACTGTCGAGCGTGCTCGCGACATTTGCATCGCTTTTGTCCAATCCGGCAACTCATAAAGACACACACACCAGGGAAAAAAACTGTACAGGCCCTATGGCTGAGAGAAAGGCTACTCAGACGAAAGCCGCTTCAGTGAGCTCAATTATAGTAATGCCACATTTTATTGTCCGTAATGGTAACAGTGTTGTAACGGAGGAAACTAGAAATTAGTTTGATTATTCGTTAAAATTAATGTCCATACTTCCATGAGAGAAATCTCATTCTATTCACCCTATCGGCCATGCTGTGGTTTGTTCGATTGGTGTATCATTGCATCTTAAGTAGGCCTATCTGTCTTCACGTCTGCAAGGGTTCATTTTTCACAAAAGAGAGTAACACAAGTAATTAACTTAAATTTCAGTAATTGTGTTTAGTTACATGCTTGTTACCGCTAAAGTACTGGAATTACAGTAACAAGTTACTTTGTAGCGCGTTACTCCCAACACTGCCAATGAAACACATGTGCATCATAAAACTGAAAAAATAAATGATCACATGCAAGCTAACACACACATCCAGTACATAGCTGGAGAAACCTCTCTTCTCAGTGCTTATAAAGTGGGTCATCTTTCTGAAGTTAACACCCTTGATATTCCTTCATTTAAATGTTTTTAAAGGGCTTTCTCTCTCACATATACACTCACACACTGTAGGCCTACCTGGGCATCTGTACAACTTCTTAGCTTGCGATATATCTCCTTTGCTGAGTCTAGTTCTTTGACCGATAGCAGGCCTGACGCCGTTCTCATCGCGAGAGGGAAGAATTGTGTCCAAAAACATTCCTCTACGGAAGAGAAAGACAAAAGGTGAATGCTTGGAAAGCTGTTTATTAAATTACTGAGTGTGAAATTTCTTGTGTGTGACAGAAGTCTCACCTGGAGAAAGTGTTTCTGGCATAATGCATGATGCTGTCAAAATCATATGGCTCACCAAGAGAGTTGACATCCCCTGGTTCCATCTTAATGAAGTTATACTCCTGACCTGAGTGCACACAGACTCATTAAAACAGATGTTTAGGCTCACAGGCTCAAACAGTGTGCTTAGGCTCCATATGAAGAGTTCAGATGCAAAAGCCTCTAAGTGCCATTTGAAATTTTGTTCTAGAATGATCATTTTTATCAAGCTTGTATATTTAAGTTCAGTGATTTCACTTAAATGGCAATGATGATTACCTATTAATTGTCATTTAAGTGAAATTACTGAACTTAAATATACAAGTTTGATAAAAATCATCACTAAAGAAGAAAATTTCAAATGGCATTTAGAGGCTTTTGCATCTGAACTCTTCATATCCTAACAGTTGAACTCTTGAATTGTTCTGTTCATGCAACAACAGCTTAAATACTGTCTGTATGAACAAATAATTAATTTCTATTCTTGTGATAGCCGTGAATAATACCTGTGGCCACCGAGAGTGACTAAAATAAATACCAAAGATGGTATTTCAATTCTTAACATACAGTAACTAACAATGTTATTTAAATGCAAGTCCAACATGCAAATTCATGAATCAAATCCGCTTGATTGACATGTGAGAACCACTGATGTTTGTTCTCACGCATCAGCCACAATTGAGCTTCCGTGTTTATTATATTTGAAGAGTTTTATGTATTTATATTGATCAATTTTTATGTGTGAATAAAAGTTAGTTCAATTTGCTTAATTAAATCATTTATAGCAATCTTATCTCTTCAGAAGTTATGGATTCATAAGTTACTTTTACAATGTCTTTATGAACGTTGTGAAGCATGAAGATTTTGGTAATGGATGGACACAAAATTATGAGAGCATATTAAAAACATCTTTGATTTTCTAATTTCAGAATAAAACTAGTTTTTGTGAAATCCCATGCCACTGTGAAATGCAGCCACAACGATCTAGCAGTTACCTGGTAGGATGCAAAGACTTGGGTCATGCAGTACCTGGCTGGATGTTGTCACGGATGATGGTCACATGATCATCACGGTCAGGTCGTGTGTGCTCGTGCCAAAAACCAATTACGTGGCCAAGTTCGTGAACGACAATGCCAAACTTGTCGCAGTTCTTCCCAATGGAAATTGCCTGGGGACCATTGCCACGGCGACCGACATAAGAGCAACACCTTGAGAAGCAAAATATAAAAAATTAAAAGTCTGAAGATCTCTATTAAATGTCAGCATCTTATTGGCTCACCCCACTCTTGAATAACTCAGATGCTGGTTATGTCACAGGAGAGTCATACAGTACAGTGCTACAATGATTGTAATGAGGGGGTGATGGAGGGGGTGTGAGCTAGGATAATGCTTAGTTGTGGCAATGTAGTTTACTGTGGGGTGAGCAGGGGATAGAGTGAAATTATGAGAGCTGATTAGGTGATTAGGATTAGCTTTCAGATTCTTGCTGTGTTCGTTAAAGACAAATAAGCACACTTTATTCATCTCTGACTAAGTGCTACTGCCATGAATCGCAGGAGAGACAAAGAGTAACTAAAGAGAGATAGGTGGGTCCCATTGTAAGTCCCATTAGACAGTCTAAAGCAGGGGTTCCCAACCTTTTTTTGTGCCAGGGACCAGCATATTCATCAAAAATATTGCAGGGACCAGTTGTCAATTTGAATGCCTCAATTTTAAGATGCATCATTGGATTTGGAACATATCACTGTTTAAAACAGTAACAGCCTATCATTTATTTCCATATAATGAACTAGGTGGCAACAAAGGCTACTTGTATACCAATCTTATTAAACTTTCAGAACGGTTCACAACTTTGTTGTACTCTGCTGGAGTAAAGTTCATAAATGGTCGTTCTTTCCCATAGGACTTTGTTAAACTATGTTGGGTGGACCTCTGTGCCTCTAGGGGGGTTCGGGGCCATGCTCCCCCGCAATAATTTTTTTTTTTTTACATTTTAAGGTTAAATCCATCAATCTCATGCTCTATGAGAGATTGAATTAAGAGCTTCAACCCCTGAACTGCTCGTTGAACAAAGAAAAAGCATTGATTTGTACCAGGACAATAAAGAGGGCTCAAATATCTTTTTAATTATGAGAGTCTCATTTTACATTACATTATCAATGGTGTTTTAGGATGCCAAACAATTATTATAATAATATAATAATGATTTATTTATTCCTATGACGTAAAATCCATATTGCCTATAAATGTAAATGTATAAATGAAAACGAATATTTCAAAAGTATATTTTAGTCTACATTACACTTTAATATAGGAAAATTAAAATACTGTTGTCCTTATTTCTATACTTGCAAGAAATAAACCCTTGAGCTTTTATTTAGGAGAAAACACCAGCAAAGTGCACACTTTTCTTTAAATCACGCAGCACAAACTGAATGCCTATTCTTAAAGTCTTGTGCTGTTTTATAAAGGCACAATGCCATATCATGGTTTCGATTTTAGTTCACTGGCAAAATATAACGCAAGAGACCTTTATGTTAGGTTATACATTTTACATCTCATATGTTAAGCAAAAGGCGGATTCGAACTCGGGTCCGAGCGCAACAAAAGCACTTTCACGCGCATCACGCTCTACGAGCAACGCCACTGTAGCTATTCTGTAGCTGCCGTGTTTTTACTTAAAATACAGGCACTTAGTGCAAAAAAACGCTCCATTTTATTAGATCCGCCCTCGTGGCCTCGAAACACTACCAGCCCTGGGGAAACTCCCGACTCTCCCGCCTATATAGCCTCCGTTTTGTCTTTGAGAGTTGGGTGTTTGGTGGTTAAGTGCCACTGCAGCTTTGAGTTTTTCACCACAAATTAATTACACACAATGGATTTGACGCCACGGAATTGCTTGTTGTCGTGAATCCAAACCTATGTATGAGGCATCGTATTTACGACCGAAGCTTGACTTTTTCTTTTTCTCGCTATATTTAAAGTTGGGCATCACCTTTCCTTTTATCGGAACTGTCCGCAATGAATATAGCCAATGAAGTTTGCTGAGCCCGCTCAATTCAACTTGCACTGTATTAAACAAGTGAGAATATTTGGCACATTAAGGTGAATTGTTTCACTTGCTGGTGTTTGAGCCTGAAAATCCGATTATTATTAACAGCAATATTGCCAGCGGCCTCACAACCCTGCTGATTGTGGTGTGTTTTGGGGTCAGCTATGTTTGTATAAGCTGACCAGTTATGTATGCAGTTCTTTTTTTTTCTCTATTTGCTGTATGAAAGTGAAGACTGAGGGTGCTGCAATGTTGTAATTTGATGTGTCCTTCAAGTGGAGTAAGAAATATTGTAATTACGAGTTCCAAGCACATGAATGGCCAAGCATTTAAAAGTAGGAAATGCAGAATTCTAGATGATACACTTGAAAACAATTTGAAATTGTTGACATGGTCGATTTGAAAACAATGGGTGGGATCTAATACTTTTATTGCTAGGCTCTCCAAAATTGACTACCCAACCTTTAAGATGTGTTATATGTGATACATATATAAAGTGGTCAGCACTAAAGTGGGAGGGAAGGGTCTCAATGAATTCCTAACACAGTCTAAATACCAAGTGGAAACAGGGTCAAAAAACCTGTGGAGGACTCCAGATTGAATCTCAATAGTCTACCATTAAGATTGTCTCAGACACACAAACAAAGCAGTAATCTCGATTCCAGTCGCTCACTATTTATAACTTGGATTAGAACACCTTAATCCCTCATTTCATAGGCAATGATAGTGTGGAATAGACATACACTATGTTCAAACCAATAAAAAGAAACAGATTTAAAATAAAACACACAGATTGGAATATTGAACCAAAACAATAAAAATGTGTCTGTAATTTTCTGTAATGTTGCTTTGGAACCATTTGCATTATATAAAAGAAAGTGCTACACAAATACAATTCAAATGAGCTGAACTAAATAAAAAAATAAAATAACTAGTGACTTGCTTACAATCTACACACAGGTATGCAACCTACAAATATCCAACCTTGTGAAATTTTGTTTTAATATTTAATCCATATTTGTGCAATGGAATCAGTCATTAAGCCTGTCAACACCTTCTCAACATAAACGTGGGCACAAGCTACATGCCAAATGCTTAAAAAGCACATACAGACACGTGAAAGGTTAGAACGGAGAACGCTCAGTGCTAGTGTTGGTCTGTCAGCAGGTTTATAGTTGAATGACGTCTGCTGATTATAAGAGATATGACTGCACTGAGATGGATAATATTATGTAATGCTCTCTCTACCTCTCTCCTCTCCGCTAATCTAGTCTTGTCCTTCTGTCAATGGTCATTCTGTCTATTTCTCTGTAATCTGTCTGGATCTGCCTCATTATTTAACCTCACCTTTTCATCAACATCATTTCACAGACATTTCGCAATTTCAGTTTCTATTCATAATAACTGATATGACATTCATAGACTGATAACACTTCTATTAGTGGTTAAAACCCTTCTTATCAGGTGTTGTCATTAAACAATGTTCCATGTGATCGAATAATCAATTAAAAGCAAAGTTTTCAGATACGAACAATAACCAACAATATATTTATCTAGACTTATGTGATTTCCGACTTCCCTTTTCTCTCTCTCTTCCTTGTTAACCCACTGTTAGGATTCCATTCCTAAGAACAATGGATGGTTTGCTCACCGTGGTAACGGGAAAGGAAGGAAAGCCAGGCCGACTGTAGTCGTCTCAGCCGACTCTCACTCCCTCGTTCTCGCAAACACACACATACCTTTGTTTTAAACACACATTGCAGGATACACTCATAACAATGAGAGCTGAGTATCTGAGTGTTCCTTAATGAATGAGTTTCATTTAACCTTTTTACTTTCAATACATGTGAACTATATATGCCTGCAGAAGTAAAGAATAAAAACTAGATTTCATATACTACCAAAGGGCCGGTGCTAGAGATGGTAGCCCACCTTGTAGAGTTTCATACATTGATTGAAGTATATATGGTTTAGAGCTCTACACTGGTCTCTTCTAGTTTCAAACCAGAAACTTTAAAGTCACCATTAAATAAAATAATACACCCTATCTAATGCATGCTATTGGTATTATTGTAAACAACAATTACATTTTTTGAACAAATATTTAATCTTGTAATTTTTTTATTTACTGTAAATACATTTAGACCTTTTAGTAAAACCTCAGACTTATACTGAATTTCTCCAGTCATTTAGTCCACTTAAATTAGGGCTGGGCAATATGGCCAAAAAATGATCATGATAAAAAAAATTTAATATCCGTCAATTATTTTTTTCAAGTTTAAAGTCAAATTGAAAGTTGTAGAAAAACCAGACAGTAAATTGTGGCTTTATCATTAGAACATGACAAACACTTGCCAAGCAGCTGACCATGTCACAAATGAATATTACATGTGTTTGTCTCTAAGAAATCAGCCACATGAAATCTATTGCATCTTACTATCATGGTAAAAAGTAGCTATATTATTTCTATGGTATTTGTTATGAAAAACAGTAGCCTAAATTTAGTATAATACAAATATACAAAATGCTATAGCTTACAGTAATAATAACTAAAATGATCATGTTCCATAACTTCTTTGATAGATTTAATGTCTCTAAGTTAAAGGTACCATGACATGAACCTTTCATTTTCTGAGGTTTTTAAATATTAATATGAGTTCCCCTAGCCTGTATATGGTTCCCCAGTGTCTAGAAATTTCAGTCGGTGTAAACCGAGCTTTGGCTATCTTTCTCCGCCTTTTGAGAAAATTAAAGCTCAGACGGGCTTATCTTGAATCTTCCTCGTATGACGTCATACAGGGAAAGGTTACCTCCCATTTCTCTGCTTTTCCCGCCCACACATGAGAAAATTAGCTAGGAAGTACGAACGCACGAGCGTGATTTGAGTTTTTCCTCGAGACACATAATGGGGTGCGAACGAGCGAAGCACGGCCATTGCTCAATAATAGAATGTACAAATGAACACATGAGTATTTTATAGTTCCTTCACCCAAGCACCAGAGAAATCAGTGGATTCATTTAATTTTGTCTGGAAATGCGCCAACACAACTTCCCAAAGTTTTGTATGTCTGCGCCAAACATTTCACCAACGACTGTTTCCTCAACTTGGGTCAACACAGAGATGGGTTTGCTGAATGTCTGAAAATAAAGTCTGGATCGGTACCAACTGTCTTTGACTCAGCTACAAACCTCAGACAAGCAAGTCAACTAATGATATATAATTGCGTTGCTTTACTTTTTATGGTTACTTAGCTTAATACATGTAGAATGTGGTTGTAACATTAGCTATGCAGCTAACAGTCAAGTTACTTAATCACTAATGTAAAGGTAGATAGCATCAAGTATGTGTGTGAATGCACACACTGTAACATTTCAAGATCGCAGAGCTAATACAGCTTTAAAACGATAGCAAAGCAGAGCAACATGAAAAGGCAGCAGTAGACTAGCTTTAGCTAACTAACAGCATAAGTAAACCATCCGAATAAAGTACCGTATCCAGACATAATATTTTAAACTAACCATTCGGAGATGTCCTGCTGGAGCCGCTGAGTTGCAACTTCTTCATCCATTGCTTCTCCATCCGGATCAGATTCTGAGTCAAACTGAAATTCTTGAATGACTGCGTGTCTCCATGCCAATGTAAACATGCATGGTACCGTTGCCGCAAGATGTTCAAGGCCACACCCGCCCTACACCTCACCCCTTTCTCCTCCTCATTAGCATTTAAAGCTACAGACACCGAAATGGCACGTCTGAAGGAAAGCTCATTGTGGTACTGACTTGTGGCTATGATTCTGTACCAAGGCTGAATTTTGGGAAAAGGATTTCAGATACAGTACTAGGGACCACTAAGGCCTATATCAAAGCCTACAAAAAGAAGCATGTCATGGGACCTTTAATATTATTTAAAAATCTATATGAATATCACACATTTCTGCCACAATATCAGGGTTTCAGTTACTACAGTAAATCATGGTAAATGTTAGCGACTTGAGGATTGAAAAGCAAATGGCACCAGTGCGAATGTCGCAACAACACGTATGAGCAGCATCATTTGCCTAGTGCGTAAACATTATCGTACAAACACTTATCGAACTTTTCTTATAATTTTACCTCTCCCAGTTTTTACAGTCGTCTGCAAGCTCATATTCAGATCTTTCTCCATCCAATCAACAACCGATGAATAGAACCAAGTCCCAGCCCTACATTTTTTTTTCTTTTTCGATAATCCGTCTTAGACGTGCGACACAACACGGAAGAAAAGATCGATCACTACTTCCATTACATCACAACTTTAAAGTGAAGGTTTTCAAAACAACAAATTAGTCTGACATTTAAACTAGTTTACACAAATCTATTAACTTAAAAATAATCAACAAAGCTGTAAACACTAGAATCACCAAATGCGGTAATATGCGTTCAGTTACAGTAACAGACATTATGTTAAGACAGTCTCACTGCCTACAATGTATTGATTTAATTTGTATCAAATCTACGAATTGATTGATTATGACTTGTGATCAATAATTTAAATATAAAAAATGCTGAATTAAATTTTAAAATGATTTTGGATGTAAATTACTCTGGATGTTTGATTGTGCAAGGGTTATGTGGTAACATTATCATTTGGCTCTAAAGTCAGTGAAAACAGGCTGGAGAGAAATTCCACTAGCCGACCACTGACCGAACATTCAGCAATGTTAATGAGTACATTGGTGACAAAAGCACACGGACACAGTATAAATGCACTACTATTCTAAAATGTATTCTGATTGTAGTAAAAACAGAAACACAAACCCGCAGGGTCTGTAGGTGAAGACGATGTAGCTCTCCTCGTCAGTTTTCTCAATGAAAGTGACACACGTTTGTTTCTCCCAGTGTCTCATTGCTTGTTTTAACATGGCCCTCTGACTTCCTGAGAAACACACACAGAAATCATTTGTAAATCATGCATATTCATTTGCTGATATTAAACACACACACATACTTACCAGTGAAGTTGCCTCCTATGACGTAAGGGATGACTCCTCCGGGCCAGATCTTCTCAGCTCGGGATGTGGCAGCACGTGGCACTCGAGACTTCACACCTCTGCCGCCGTTTACACTCCTCCCTCCTGCCTTGGAGCTCGACACATCTTTACTGCTGTTCACTGGCCACGACTCTGCACCATAGAGAGAGTAGACAGAATGATAGAAAACACCTAACAGTACGTTTGTGTACTTTTTCCCCCATTCCCTTTGGCATGCCTACATCAGATGACATTGATTACTAGAAATTTAATTTTTTTTTACATTTATATTTTAACACTAAACCTGAACATATTTAAACCATATTAAAAAATTGCCTTTCGTGTAGTACTCAAACACATTATGCTTAGAGTTCCCACTTGTGGTCCTTTCCGATCCCGTCCCATATATGAATAAAGGCCAAAACAACATCTACATTTTTGTGACTGTATTTTATCTGGCCGTTAGGTGTTTTGTATATCGGAAAATTGTTTAGGTATAGTAGAAGTCAGTTTTTCGCGGGTTATGTGGCTTTTCAAATTGAAAATCATACCCTGACATTTGTCACAATGAAAAAAGTATACCCATACCCAATATCTAATTTTCATAAAGACAAAATTCTTTATGAAAGGTTGAAAGTTTTGATGAGAAATCCGATTATTTTCTGTGAACTGCTTCTTTTGGAAAGCTTGTTTCAATGAACCAGTTCAACAAGTCGAGTCAAGTTCGCTGCCGGCCGCCTGGGTGCTGGAGGGGCGGCTGCCGTCCGTGAGGGAGTAGGGAGGAGTCGGTGCCATTCGCTGTGGGCCGGAGCCTACTGACATTCGCCATGAATGGGAGGAGCAGGGAACAAGGGACTCCTGCCGTCTGCCCGAACCCAGAGGAGCCGTCGCCGTCCACCAGGTGGCGGAGGAGTCTCGAGCGGCCCACCGAGGGCTATCCAGCGCCACCGCCAGGCACCAAGGAGAAAATCGCCCAGTTAGTGGAGGACCAGATGGCAGCGCGTTGTGGGAACCGGTCCAAGATTTTTAAAAATGTTTTTTCCTCTTTCCCCTCTCTCGGATCTGTCGCTCCTCATGCTTCTGTCTCCATTTCTCTCGCCTCGTCTGTCCATATCTCCCAGGGATCACAGCCGCCGGCAGGGGGTCTAGAGCGCAGTCTTGGGTGTACCCCCCCAGACTGCGAGAGGCGATGGGGGTATGTGGCGAGCAGGGCGAGGCTAAGGGACGCGAGAGCGGTGCGAGGCCGGTGACGTGAGAGATAATGAATGACACCTGTGAGACGCACCAGTCTCGACTCTCTCACGGAGGACCGGAAGCGTAAAGGAGGAGCGACGACAGTGAAGATCGAGAGAGAAACAGGCCTGAACTTATGTTTGTTTTGTTTTTGTGTGCCAGCAGTCGTCCGTGAGGGAATTTTGTGGAATAAATGAATTTAGTGTTTCTTACGGGTGAATAACTTCATGAAAATTAAAATAGACAAACCAAAAGCTGTGTGTTCAAATTTAAATAAATATGCTGTTAGGTAATATTTTCATCCATACTGTGATGTACATCCAAAAATGTAGGCTGGGGACTAAGTTCCAATTGTAGTTGTTTGGATGGAGGCAGATCTGAATACGAGCTAGAGAATAAATTTAAGAAGGGACGGGATTAAAGCAGACAAATGTTTGGAGAAGTCTGTCGTTTCACCAGAAGACTGAGTTATCAAGAATATAACATTTATAAAATAAAAAGAATAAAAAGAATCACATGCATGGATAAAATCAATTGTTCACAATAAAAGCAATAAGATGCATTAAAAAATATTGTAAACACTTTTTAATGCTAATTTCTAAAGGTCTTGTTGATGGTGCTGTGGGGTAAATAGGAAAAAAACATTTACTGTGTTTTATTTTTGTCTATGTTTAAAGGGTGAACTTACCAAAACCTAACCGTCGTATTCTGTCAAGCAACAGATATAATGAACCTTTCTTCTTACTGGGATTATGCTCTCCTAGACCACCTGAGAGAAAGAAACATAAAGGGAGTTATAAAAAAGAATTGGAAAAAATCCAAGTCTAGGCACTCAGTGGGATGCAGAAGTTAAAAGGCCTTTATTATTTTAAGGACTAAAACATTAAAACCTCAACGTGTATCGGCCCACTGGCCTTCATCAGGGTGTTGGTAACAAACAGACAGTATCAAGTCATACTTATAGTTGCACTGATTACAATTGATTCAAGGGAGTTATTTGAAGAATGCTGTAAGAGGGATTTCATAATGTTATGAGAACATTGTGTGGGTGTTGAGGTTAAGCATTGAGTAAACACTACTGCTTATGCTGCCTTCACATGCTATCGGAGTTATCAAAAATACGATAACTAGCCCTCTCAAGTTGCCGAGTTGGGCGGCTGCTGTGACTGGTATTCTTTTTTTTTTTCTCACCAACAGCTACATCGCCTTGTCTTGTCGTTAAAGTAGTGCATTTTTACATTTATATGAAAAATGTGTGATCAGTGTATTGTGTTAAATAAGTGTTTTGTATGTTTTATACACAGAGAATTTCTGAATTGTGTCAGCAATCATACTTTTTAGATTGCAGTGAATGTTTATATTGTTGTCAATGAATATCCCATTCATACAATAATTAGCATCATTTTGGATTTAATAAGATTTTTGGGTAACACTTTACAATACGGGTGCACTAATATGCATTAATTCATGCTTAACTAATGCACAAATAATCATGAGTTAATGTATAACTCATGAAGAACTAAACCATTAATTAATGATTACTGCATCAGGAACTAATAAAGAGTCTATATGATTAATAGATTAAGTAATACATGAATTGCTGTTAATGGGCTTTATGCCCAGCTGCACTACTTCCTGAACTTCAGCCAGCTCCTTGTTTCCTGTCTGCCATTATTGGCCAAATTGATTCATTCAGGTGTGCTTGAGCTCAGTAGTCATGGCAACAATAATCAGACACACCTGAATTAATCAATTTGGCCAATAATGGCAGACAGGAAACAAGAAGCTGGCTGAAGTTCAGGAAGTAGTGCAGCTGGGCATAAAGCCAATTCAATGTGTCATTGTGCATTAATTCCTTAATAACATATTTTATTAACTAATAGTGTAAATTAATGTGTCAATTACCACAATTAGGCAAGGCTATGCCCTTCAACTTCCAGTTGTCTGCTTTAATTAATCAATAGCTAATGATTTGCAAGGGTATCATTATGCTATGACTTTACTTGTTGGGGCACATCATTATTAACTAGTCATTTAGTAATTGTAGTAATTTTCACATGAATTTGCACTAACAATTAAGTAATTAATCATGTATTAATGCTTATTTGTGTACCTGTCATATTATCTGGAAGTTGAAATACAAGGCTTTGGCTCATTCTGATAATTAACATTGTAATTAACAATATTAGTTAAAAAATTAGTTATTATGGAATTAAGTCAAGTCAAGTCACATTTATTTATATAGCGCTTTTCACAATACAGATTTATCAAAGCAGCTTCACAGTGATAACATGAAGGTAGTACAACACAGATCAATAATATTGTTAAATATTAAATATTAAATATCCCCAACTAAGCAAGCCAAAAGCAAGGCAACAGTGGCAAGGAACCAAAACTCCATCAGATTGGATGGAGAAAAAAACCTTGGGAGAACCCAGGCTCAGTCGGGGGCCAGTTCTCCTCTGGCTAACATTCATATTGTTTATATATAAATATTAAATATAAATATTGTTTATATATAAAACGGCGCCATAACATATCGCCGCGTTGAGTCGTCTCTTCACAATTAATCCACAATTACATATTTAATTAATAACAATTCATGTTATGAACAAATACATTAACCTTACAGACTCTTAATTAGTTCCTAATGTGGTAATCATTAGTGAATAGCTTAGATAATCATTAGTTACACATTAATTCATTATTATCTGTGCATTAGTTAAGCATGAATTAATGCTTATTAGTGCACCCGTATTGTAAAGTGTTACCGATTTTTCAAATAAATAGGCAAAAATAAATCTGGTGTCCCCCATGATTCCTGTTCTTTACAACAACAAAGTACCTGAATGCGACAAACTCGTAATCACAAGTGGGAAATGCTTGATAGCATGTGAAGGCAGCATAAAACCAAGTTTAAAATTACACTAGTACCATTATAATGATACATGAACGCAGTCAGTTAGCGGAGAAACTTCCTTTTTACTGTCTGTCTGCCATTATTAAACCTATTTTATCCATTTATCCTTACCTCTCCTCAGGCCCTATTCGCCACTCTCTTCTCCTTCATTCAACATCTCACCTACTCTGCTTTCACTCCCAGGGTTCTCACTGATCATCTCCATTCACACATTTCTCTTCCTCTGCTATCTTCCTTTTACATTTATTCCCTCTCTCTCTCTCTCTCTCTCTCTCTCTCTCTCTCTCTCTGGAATTTCTCTGATGCGGACAGGAAAGTGAGGAACAAACAAAACTCTAAATCCAAGACACAGGAAAAGACTGAGTTTTGGGATTAATGTGTGCACAATCTCACATACATTGTACTGGCAGGTATACAAGTGTGTGCTCCTGTCTACATGACAGCATCCTGATAAATCTGGAAATATCCAAGGAGGACCTGTCCTGACTGGTTTGAACATGCATCAGTTCTCCTGCAAATCATGGTCCTGATGCAGTTTGCCCTTTTGCCCCGGTGGCACATCCTGTAACAACCCCACTCAGAACGGAAACGCAAAGCTGAATCCTTATCGTCTTTTTGGTCTCACTTCCGTCTTTGTGCTGCCAAAGACTCAGACGATGATAAAGGTAATGTTGCTGACAATGCAAGGTAAAGTTCTCTTAGTCTGTGAGTAGTCATTACTCATACCAATGATTGTAGCATGTTTTAGACGGTGACAGATTTACCTTAACATCCCACTGGGAAAGACGTGCACACACATACACACGACTGGTCAGTATAGATAACAGCAAGGAAGGATTTTGTTAACAATGTTTATTCTAACTTACAAAGAAACACACACACATACACTTCTGCACTTTTCTCATTACATAAGGAGTAAAAGACAAAGACCTTGCTATGCAAACACACACACCGCTGTTTGCTGATGGTGCAGTGGAGTTGCGACAGGAGCATTTATCAAGTCTAATCACTTGAAGCTATAAACTCCCCAATAACTCCTCAATTTCCCCACTCATTCTTCAACTTCAATATGACTTTAATGACTTTAAATCACCTACAGCCCACAACACAATCATGGACATCTATTCCATCCTTATGACAGCTCAGCATGAAACTGCACTGGAGGAAAGGTCTGACATCAGGGTGAAAAAATCACATGAGAGGCTTCAAGGACTAAGACAGAAGCGCAAACCTTGAACTTGAACGAGTCATTGTTATTGTTCTGCGCCAGAAACCATTCACAACCCTTAGCAGCTGCTGACTGCAGCTTTAACCTTGTCTACTGTACATCTGCTACTGAAAAAAAACATCAGAATCTTAAACACAACTGAGGGCTCAGAACGATTTACAGAAAGGGCGTACATTTGAGAACGCAGCGTTAATAGCGCCATGGCCAAGGCACAAAAGCGCTTGATGTGAAACCGTACTGTACGTGTTATGTACCAAACCTGCAGTTCATCAGGTAATCAGCGCCTTCTCCCATCCATTATTCCATAAATTGCACGTATTTAAACACGCAATTGAATGGGCCTCCTCCTCTACTGCTATGACTGTTTGAAATGATCCTATTGCCAATAATTGTAATGTAGCAAGGAGTTTAACAACTACTGGAATAGAATGTGAACGCTGAGATTCGATGTCATTGATTTCTTCCAGTAACTGTAATATTGCGTAGCTGCTTAAAGGGTAACTAAACCCTGTCAGAGCCTGACTCCACCCACTGGCAATATTTGAAAAATGCTGGAAAAGTGGGCAGAGCCCAGCGGAGGGGGGCGTGCACCTGAGACGCATCTCTTTGTATGGAACTTGCCTACGGCACCAACAACCGCTGTGTCACGTACCACCGCAAACATCCAATAGGAAAATTCAACTGCAGTAGCCACCGTTCAACCTGAAGAGGGCAGCACTAAGACGTTTTTACACCATATATTGTAGAAATAGAACCACTTTATAAACAAATGCCAAAAAAGTTACTCGAATCAATGACTGGTATTAATAAAGATCCATTCTTACAGATCATTAACTAAAAAAAGTTGGTTTAGTGTTTAGTAGGGATGGGTATCGAGAATCGAGTATCGATTGGAACCGGGACTAACTTTTAGTTTTTTCCCGGAATCGTTCAAAAGTTAAAATTTCGATTCCTAGTTTCGAGCTTCACAGTCCGCCGAGCGGAAGAAGAAACCGCTGAACAACACCAACGAAGAAGCGTCTACCGGAAGTGTTGGCATAACCGCGCGAGTTATGCCAACGTTTATGTGAGGTTAGCTTACGTCGGCGGTCCAAAGTGTGGCTTCACTTTTCTAAAAATAACGAAATCTCTGCAAAATGCAAAATTTGTGACAAAAGGAGTATTTGTGACAGAAGGAGTATTTCCTTCAGAAAGGATTAATTCCTCTAGAAAGACCGTTGGTTAGCAAGGTTAGCTAAACCCTGCCTTTTAAAAGAATCGGAATCGAAACAAAGAATCGGAATCGGAATCAGAATCGTTCAAATTCAAATGATACCCAACCGGGTTGATACCCAATGATACCCAACCGGGTTGGGCCAACCTAGTGTTTAGTTACTCTTTAATCTGTAACGCTTAATGATTTCGTTTTCACTCAACTGAAAAAGTGTGATTCTTGTGGCAAAAATCTTTTCAGCTCGTCTCATTAGCCTATGCCTTCGTCTTGCTCGGATTACTGCTGCCATTTCACCAGGAGGCATATGCCAGGAAACCGCTTCCTAAGTCACACCTACTTTTAAGAGGTGGAGAATTTTCAGCGCAAAAAAGAGTTTCACGGAAAACATAATTATGCGCAGTTTACACTTCCCCTCCCATCTCTTTATGTGACACTTCCACTTTTTCCTTGACAATTCCATGAATGCATATGCATGACATGAAAAGCGCATTTTGCCATTTTCAGTTCCCGCGACTGCAGTCTGCGCTTTCATCGTGGTGCGTCCCATTCGTACATACCTCGCCATGGTTTTATGCGCACTTTGCGCATGAAGTAAATGCAAAAACGCTAGTACATCTGGCCCACAGAGTCAGATTCAAACTACTAAATCGCATTTGCAAGTGTTTCACAAATCTTAAAAAGAACTGGCTCATAAGAGTAATTTTTTTTGCAAAAGCTTGTTTTCATATGACGTCACGCTACTGCGTTGCCATGGCGCGAAATGCAAATGGAGGGCAGGAAGTGATTTGCTCTATTTAGAAAGAGGTATAACACACTCAAAATGCCTGTGTTTTGCGTCGTTTATCATTACTTAAATTAATCAAACCACGAGGAGTTTTTATTGTGTAACTAAAGTTGTTGTTCATAGGGGGGGGGATGCTAGAAATTGACCAAAAAACTCCGGAAAAACGGCTTGCAAACCTACGTCTGTGGTCGGGAGCAGCCGAATGGGAAAAATGCCCGTGTGTGCAGTGATCACTTCGTCAAAGGTGAGTTAATACAACAATTCAAGTGGCTATGTTTGTGTAATGTGTAATGTTTCCGAACTTTGTAAAGTCAAACTATGTCTGCAAGACGCGGTAGTTCATAGTTGCTGATATCTACCGCCTCGATGGCTGAAAAATCTTTCAATTCAGTTGAAAAATCGCTCCTCTTCATAACTTAAGGATCACGTTCAACATATGTTTGATTATTTTGTTTGTATATTTCTCTTGTAATAGTGTGTAAAGTAGTACAGTACGGACTTTCCTCCATCTCATCCATTGCGTTCTTCATTCCATGCCCTCCATCTGAATTTTTCGCGTCATCATAATCATGTGACTGAAACCCAACTATTGGGCCAGTTTTAAACTTTTGTTGACAGGTAGAGTCTGGAACCCTGTGATATCTAATGTGTCTTACCAGATGTGTGTCCCTGTCTCCCATGTGACCGCTGCGAAAGCTCTATCGTCCCATCGATCTGAAACATTTTCAAGTCCTCTTCATCCAAGGCAATATCTCCCCAAAATACAGCTGGAAAACAGAGACAGATATTATTAGAGGACACAAACACACACTTTAGCAGCATCATAGATTGATAGTCTAAGTGCTGGCAGACACGATTAAGACTCAGATCAGTGTGGCCTGAGCTATTGACTGATGCTAATTTAAGGTTTGCTGCATATGCAATCGATCGACAAGTTAACATGAGAGGAAACATCTTGGGTTGTCATTTTTCCTTTCACTGTCGCACCCTCTGATTAAAAATTAACAGGGAACACATACATACTTCCTGTTGGGATCTTACCAACCCTGTTCACATAATGTTGCATCACGCTTGTCCCAACATTCCTAATGTTCAACCACAGTCATGATTAATGACATCATAACATACATCCTTAAATTAGCCTTTAGCCAAGAAAGTCATAGAGATGGCCATGAAAAGGGAGATAATACGCCATTTGTGTGTGCAAGTAGTTTTGGCAGTTCATTCACTTCTCAACCTTGATGTAAAACAATAAACAATGAGGAGGACCATGCAGGACCATGCAACGGTGAACTGCACTATTGTTTGTGTGTGTATGCGCACGTGTACAAGCATCCATCCCTCCCCCATCAATTCCTTGGACATTGTTCAGCCTGAATCGGTGATTGTGCTCCGTATCACATTCATATAAAGCTGGAGTCTCCTGTGGATCACACCCTTCATAGAGAACTAATATTAGCACTGATCTAACCCCACTCCACTTCTCTGTGGGACTATCTGCTACAGTCTAAAACATTTTCACTGCACCTTATATATATTTTAGATTACATCATATATATATATATATATATATATATATATATATTAGAATTATTTTGTACTATATTTAAAAAAAATATTATTACAATGTACATTTTTCACATTTTACATTGTAATTTATTGTAATCAAATGCCAAGTTTTACTTACAGGGAACATTTGCAGGAACAGAAAATTCCAAGAAAGGAGTTATTTTTTTATATTTAAAGATGCAATTTCAAAGTGACTTTTTAGAGTAAATCACTGTGTGGTCTTGAATTGTTTTCTCCACATCACACACAGGTACAGTATTTGTCCATCAGCACAAGTATACAAATCTAGCCCCAAGCTGGCATGAGGTCTCACTGCAGTTTTCATAACAGCCTTGACAGTGAGACAAGACAGTGTGAAATGTCTCCATGTTAAAGGCCGCGTTGCAGGTTAACCACCACTGTCAACTAATGGGTACATTAATCACTCAAGATATGTATATCATTTTTAAAATGTCTCAAAAATGGCCTTAAAGACCAGTTTTTCACGTTTTTTGGTATTAACCGGGTTTTTTTTTTTTACGCAATTTGGTGATGGCGTCACATTGTAGCCTGGCATGCCGGACCTACATCAAGATGTTAGATGCACACAAGATGCACACTTTGCTGCAAAATAATTTTTGCTGCCGCTAGGGTGCGTCTAGATTTCTAGGCTAGTCACATTGGGGAAAAGTGGAGGAAAGGTAGCTTCAGCCTAGTATTAGAACTATGGTGACAGGTGACTGACTGGGATGAGGAAGAGGTGGCAAGAGCCAACATCTATGATGGCCCGCAGCCATAAAATTTCAAACCTGCCAGACGTGAGAGGCCAAATGAGGAATTGCCAAGAATTAATGGCAGTCAAATTAAATGCATGGTCCGAGGAGAATGAGTGGAGAGTTGGTGAAGTGTCCTGGTGAGTTGCTATAATTTAGCAACACAGCAATGAGCACTGGAGCTAGTCTACGAGCAGCAGTGCACAATAAACACATATGTATTTTTTTTTACTGTCATTGAATAGCACCGAGTGAAAAATCAACGTTTTCTTTATATTTAGTGGCTGTGATCATGACGTTAGTTCAGATAAGTACTGGTAACCTTTGTCAAAGTGTCATAGTATCTAGAAATAGAAGGAATCATGCTAGCTATATGGGCATTTTTATCGCTTCCTCCAATGAAAATGTTGTTGCAAACGTAGCTGCTACTTGTCTGGCACTGTCTGTGTTTGGCAGGTGCTTGTTTGGGCAGTGCCATCCCATCAAAACTGCGTTGGAAAGCTTTTGCTGAAGGGAAGTAAGTGTTGAGGAGCTCACCCCGTGACCAGATGTGACGTGCCTCACCATTGTCAATCTACCTACTATATATTTATCTATTTATCTATCTAGCTGGTAGCTATCTATGCTTACGTTATGCTATCTGGCTGTCTGCCTATCTTTCTCTAATACTAGTAACTACTACTCATCTCTCTAGTCACTCTCAATCCTCTCAAGGCGGGCTTTAGTAAATTATCTCCCCAAGGTACGTAATACAACGCATTATGGGGGAAAGGAGAATCGTTGCAAACCACTGTAAGAGAGTACCTATTTTTTCGTATTAAATTCTGTTTTGTGATACCCAACAATATACAATACAATGGATAACAGTTTAAATGTTTGTTACCAACAAGCAAATTGCACAAATTCGTAAAATTAACCCTGCAACACGGCCTTTAAGGCAAAGTGCCTTCGACTTGACTGCAGAGGAAAAGGCTTTGTGTTGAATTTGTACATTGATTTGGCAAGTCTGGGAGTGAAGCCCAGTAATGCCTCAGCAATCATGTATTCGTTTAACATCAATGAGTCTTTGACAGCATATCCTAACTTAGCACCAGTCAATAACTTCAGCCGTGATGATCGATAGACACAGAGCAGAGGCTGTCTACTTAACAATCAAACTCTAGGGGGAGAATCAAATGGTTTGTGACTAACATGTAACCATCTCAGCCACATGGGATTGTTAATTGTATAGTATCTCTTTCATTGAAAATGAAATGTTAAAAGTCGAATTAAACTCATAGACTAACAGCTTTACGGCTGCTCAAATGGGAACAAAATGTCATCTGAGGTGGGTGGGGGGTTGAGGGATACGTTTTGGCGAATATGAAATGCTAATCTCAATTCCAAGGATATTGTAGCGCGGTGGGAGGTGTGTGTTTTAATCTGGGTGCAGTGATATCTGCGGATAAAAATGTGAATTAAAAATGGGAGATTATCCTGGAGGTCACACAACAGTTCAAAATGAGATACACCAGGTTATCCTGGAACCATCCAAGTTATTCTCACTGTTTCCTATAAATGATTTAAGAGTTGAAGGAAAGTAGCCTATTGCTGTAACTAACTGTGCATCCACATTGGGTGAACTTGTCTCAGCAAGAACGTAGACGATTTTTTTTTTTTTTTTTGCATTGCAAGTGTGATACATTCAGTTAACCACTTAGTTTCTTAGATACTGTAAAAGCTCTCAAAACCTAAACAGCCTTTTTTATGCATTATAAGCGGTGCTCTTCGCACAATGCAGCATAACTATCCAACATAATAAATTAAATAAAACTTTGGTAAAATTATGGATAAAAACATTTTATATAATTAAAATTGTCTTATTTATATAATATTTAAGTGCCACACTAAAACTAGTAAAGGATTTACTTTGAAACAGTTTTCACTTATAAATTGCTAGTAAACTGCACACATAATTACAAGGAAACAATAAGTAACACATTTAATTAAATGTAAAAAATAATAATATAATAATAATAATAGAAAGACAATAATAGTATTTTCTAGTAAAATGTACTACTTATAATTCAAACATTTCTTGTAAAATATACAATAATCTGCATTAAGAATTTCCAAAAATTAATATTTTATGTATAATATCTTATATGAAAGAGTTTCACCGCACTCACGGCAAACAAGGTGCCAGACAGATAACACTTGACAACCCAAAAAATAAATTGTCTGCACACTTGAGTCCTTCAAGCAAAATTTAATGCAAAGCTTTCGGTAATACAACCAGGACTCAAGTGTGCAGATGTATAATATCTTATAACTTCTCTTAAAATATCTTATAACTAAGTTTTAAATGCAAAAAACATGCTGTGTGTGAATGGCTCCATAGAAGGCATCTGTCTATGATATCAAGACAGCTCATTAGGCTTTAGAACTGAGCTGACAACTGTATACTTGAATAATGGCCACTGATCACCTTCTCTTGTAGTCAATCCCATCAGTTTTAACAGACTGTTTTTATGTACAGTGACAGCAGATGTTGTGGAGAATCCTGGAGGGAGGCTCTGATGAACACACACTACGGGCTCAGAAAGTCTGACCATATGTTGACGCTTCATTACTGTGATGTCAGTTTAATACCAGGAATCCCTTCCTCATTAAACCCACAGAAATACAGCTGAGACTGATGAATGAGAATCATGGGAGCTGAAGCATGAGTGGGGTGTTTCTGTTTGTCAGTGACACGCGTAATCTGTGCCACATGTCAGAGAAACATGACGCAAAGCATTTTGGGTGACAGCCCAAAAAGCATTCCTGCAAGCTTGATCACAGGAAGGATCAGGGACAGACAGACACACTCAAATTCAAAAACACAATTCCAATATCTGCTTGATGTCACCTTGCATCCTCTCAATGTTAAAAACAGGTGTCTTGTTTTTGTAAGAACACTGACATTTCAGTGGATACACATGACACTTGACTAACTCAACCACAATCGAAAAATGTGTTGATCCCACCACTCAAGATAATCTGGCTGAGTTATAAACATCAAGGGCTCGTTTACACCCAGGTATTAAAATCTCTCTCTGTGAATCTGTGATGAGATCACAAGTGAGGCACATTGCAGTTAACACCTGGCAGTAACATGCATCTCAAATGTGTCTCCTGTGCTCGGAGGGAAGGGTCACAGATTTTGAGACTACATTAATCACTCACTATGTCAATGTGTTACTGCATGTTTATAAGGTGCAAAAAAGAAATAAAAGCACAAAATGTTCACACATTTTTGTCCAAATGTATATTTATGAAAACAAAAACAGTGTGTGATGCAATGGTGGCCAAAGATGCCTGCATGTCATGTGTATGGCAGTGATGCTTTAAACTGGGTATTAATTTAAAGATCTTAAAGTCATGCATATAGTAGGGTTGTCACGGTACCAAAATGTCAGTAGTAG